TTATGATTAATCTGGCAACGCATAAAGCATCAGCTGATTTTGCATCGATGCTTTTTCCGTAAACTCTGGCATCGCTCAATTGAAATCTGAGTTCTGGCAACGGTGATCGGCGCGTTCAAAAACGAGAGAGATGTCTGCTAGAGTAACTTTGGTAGTGACGTAATAGGGGCCACCAAAGTATGCGGATGGTGTGCAAAACGCCAGACGATCACTCGAAATCGAGCAAGCTATTTCTCTCTGTAAAAACTGTTGAGCCAGCCCAACTGGAAGTACATGTGGTACTAAACTTTACTAGACCCCACAAGTACTTCCAGTGAGCATAGCATAACGAATTTTGCATATGTTATTCTTATCCCCCACCTGACTCTGCCATCCAAAAATTACGTCACCATCACGTCATGGGGCTTGCCAAAGTACAAGCTTACAATATCATTACATAGGATAAGATTTACATATTTATCCCGGGGGAGAGGAAAGTCGATAAGACGGCTTAATCATATGGCGAACCACGGCCTCTCGTCCCGTTACCAGTCCAGGTCGGGTATGGGATTAGTTAGCCAGTTATTTTTGTTTTCGAAAGCATGGACTTGATGGAAGAGGAAGCCGTAACCAACCAGCGGTTACATGAACCACCCTACGGCGGCAAGGAGTCCAGCGATCCTCTCGCACATGATCATCCCCGCATAAGATTCGAACCTGCGATCCCATGAAGGGTAATCAGAGATTCGGTAGCGAGCGTATTCCTAACGCTTAGCACGATCAAAGTGACTTTATAGCAGTGCTCGTCAACCTTTTTTTCAATAGTACATCCTTTTAACACTTTCTCTAAATCTGGTACACCCCGTCCATCCTATATTTTTAAACGTAAAAAACTCATTGTTTTTTAGATGTTTATGTCGGCGCAATAGTTATTATTAATCAATGTGAACGTTGCTCTTTGATTCCATCGGGCATTTGTGCAAAGCGAGGTATTAACCTTGTTCCTAGTGCCCCTTTCATTAGAGCAGTGGTTATCAACCTTTTACTGACAACGTACCATTTTGGTATTCCCAAAGTATGTGAACCAAAATGGCAGACACTGCAACGTAGTATGTGTACCCGGTTAGAGTTAGGCCATCATTTTATTCCAATTTTCCTCATTGTTGTTCTATTACGAGTTCAGGGACTAGCCAAGTGACTTCCTTAGTATTTATACCTGAAATCATGGTCTTACCCTAACCTGGTACACATATTACGTTCCGCTATCTTGGTTCACATACTTCGGCAGTACCACCATTTTTGTTTTTTTTTACTCCGGCCGCGTACCACCAACAAATCCCCTTCTTGGGGGCGGAGAACAAAACCACAAGAATGATAGCGGCGGTATGGAAGAAATAAAAAACTTAATTAATGGACCATAAAATTGTAGCTTATGTTTATCAATCAACACATATAACAGATAGCAATAGTATCATCCGTATGATGTATGAAACCGCTATCAAGCTATCATCTCTCTACGCGCCGACCATTCCCGTCGAACGCTCCATTCGTTGCCGTTTTTCAATGCATTTTGGATGTAAAATGCAACACGGGCGAAAACATGCCCGTCTCGCTTCAATTTGTGGTAGTACTATAAACTCGTTCAGCGAATACATACAGTATGGAATGAACGATAAAAAGAAAGCGTTGCTGGCATAACTTAGTCAACTCGAAAGTTAATTGTTGCAATGATTCGAAGCTGCTCGCTGAGAACCACTGCATTAGAGCATAGGTTCTCAAAGTGCTCCGTACGGAGCCCCAGGGCTCCGCGAGAGAAACCCAGGGGCTCCGCAAGCTATTCGATTACTTTTCAAAATACTGACTTGGCTAATGCTGTAACTGTTCAATGAAGCAATAACAGCTTTGATAAAATTTGACAACAATATAGCCTCGAAATATGGCAAAGAGGCGGAATTAAAAAACGACATTATTTATAAGCAGGAGCGCAGCCATGATTCTTAAGAGGGAGGGGGTTCAAAATTGAAATAGGAAATTTCCGCGCAACATTCTTCTCGATTAAAAAAAGAATAACGAGATTTCTTTTGCGTAAAATATTCAATCCATGGCCGATGCGAGCATTTAAAGCGTCTTGCCGTTTTAATTTAATTGTGCTCATCGTTACTCACGTTTGATTCGAGATTACTATTAGGATTACTAAAATGAAAGATTACTATTCTAAAATAACATAAAATACGTGATAAACTGCCAACTATAAACAAATTGGATTCGTATTTTTGCGATCTTGGGATTTGTCAAACTTGATTTGTTCTTTCGCACTCGAGATTATTTTTAAGCAAGATATCGCGTTTAAAAAATCACAAGGTCTGGGCAAAATACGAACGATTGAAATTTATTTTATTGCATGCGGCTCTGTCGGTAGTTTCAGAATGAAAAAAGATACATCGCGCGCACAACTGACTGTGTTTCGATTTCGCAGTTACTACGATGAATAACCAAAGAAAACCTAACATAACACCAAATTTTGTGATTAACAATGTTTATAAAAGCGTTTTGAAGTCTGCTGAAACCAAACTTATAGTGTGATCTTTCATTTTAAGTTTTAGTTTTAATATTTTAGAATGCCGCTTTTCAATCAAGAAATTTGAGAGGCGGATTTACCTCTTTATTAATTATTATTTTTAGCATTTAGTCGCCGATGACCATAATATGTTTTTCACATTGAACACATAATTCCCCACGCGAACACAAAAAAGCAATTATTGTCGTTGTTGTGGAACAATACATGTATATGTATGCCAAAATAAATTTTCGATTCAGGGAGAATAAACACCGGCGTAAAGATGTTTAATGTTCACAAACACGCCATGCTGACGAAAACAATCGGCAATGTAACAAAATGCAATCGCGCACGTTATTAGCGCCCTTTCAAGTCTTTCGAAAATGTCAAAAGGGTCAAGATTCGACCTCTAATTCATTATAAAAATATCTTCCCCCCATACAAACTTTTTCAAACTCGCTGTATTAACACTTACTGCTGGTCTTGTGTAAATGAGTCAGACTTACATTACAATTACGGGCGACTCATTTACACAAGACCAGCAGTAAGTGTTAATACAGCGATGAAATACACAGAAAATGACAAATATGCTATTTCGCTTCTCATGCGGCCAACATTAGGAACAAACAAACTACAGATTGAATTTCCTCCCGTCCAGCAACAAACGTTAGGTGCATCATGCGGACCATTTGCAATAAGTTTTTGCATAGCTTTATGCGAAAGAATTAGACCAGAGGATATAGTTTTCGATGAGATAAATCTGCGAAAAAAGATTTATGATGGCATAAGTTCTAAACGATTCTCACCAAATTTTAATATCGACCGAAACCACAATAAAACTAATACGAAATTCATGGATATTTAGATATTTTGTAACTGCCGACTGCCCTACATACAAAATCAGACTATAATAGAATGCACTTCATGTTTGGAATGGTACCACCCGGAATGTTGCAATACTCCTGTGCCAACTGAGGCACTGGAAGATGGCAAAATTGAATGGCATTGCGAGAAGTGCAATCGATGCTAAATTTTTTCGTTATATATTCACCATATGCCTAACTCCAATTATTTTTCATATCCATCGGCTTCATAGACACACAAATGATCAGTCTATTTTACCTTTTGCAATATAAGCCAAAGTTAAGGGTTTTCACTCTCGATCGTCGCCAGTTTTGAGATGAAAACCACCACGATAGTTGGCACATTGACGTGTTGTGGTGGCTTACTACTAAGACCAACTAATTATCCAATGCAATAAGTGTGTCTTCTACCCCAAGTGTAAATGGGGGACCCTGATTATAAGACACTTTTTTTAGGGGCGAACTATGTCATTTTGCCATTTCTAACATTAATCGACTAGCGGGCCATGTTTAGGCGATTATAAAAATATCTTCCCCCCATACAAACTTTTTCAAACTCGCTGTATTAACACTTACTGCTGGTCTTGTGTAAATGAGTCGCCCGTAATTGTAAGATACTCATTTTATGGGGCAAAATAGGTCTTTTTGCCATTTCTATCATAAATTGACTAGCGGGCCATGTTTAAACGATAATTAAAGTATCTTCCCCCCATACAAACATTTTCAAACTCGCTGTATAAACACTTTATTATATGTACTACTGCTGGTCTTGTGTAAATGTGGGGCCCGTAATTGCAAGACACTCATTTATTGGGGCAAATCAGGTCTTTTTGCCATTTCTATCATTAATTTACTAGAGCAGGGCTACCCAAACTTTTGAGCTCGCGGCCCCTTTTAATATATTAAAATTTTTCGCAGCCCTTGTTCACGTTAATAATGTTAAAAAGTTCGAAATATGCATTTTTACTATTTTATTGACACAGCTACCGTAATTCTCAACTTTTAGTAGGCCTACTCAATAACAAAAACAAGCACAAATTTACTCAGATTATCGTTACTAAATTATTCAGTGTAATGGGTGCGAATGCTTTTTGCTGCATAGCAAATCCAGCCGGCATGGTTCTTATTCGGAATTGTTACTCACTCTTATTGATCAAAATCAAAATGTGCGACGCCAAATTATCAGGGAAAAAACTCGCGGCGCACCTACACGAAAAATATGCTGCCTCAAAATAAAACACAATTTTGTCATCATTACTGTGTACCTCATGCTTTTTGAGGTTTATAATCATGTAGGCCAAATAAATAAAGGCAAAAGGTTGAACTTTTCTTCTTATGTTCGATAATCTCGGTTGTACTGCAGCCTACAAAATTGCAGCATGTATGGTTTATCTCTTCTGTTACGTAACAATAGACCCTACGTAACAGAAAGTGAACAACATAGAACGGTAAATTGAATTTGATTTATATACAGATCATTTGCAATAATGGGAAACAATAAAACATTCAGAATAAATAAAATATGTAAAATATTCAATCATATATTAGTTAATATTTAACACAAATATCCTGATTTTCGAGGCGCACTTAGCGAATCGCGTCACTGTGATGTCGAAATGACGTAATTTTTCGGTGACGTAGTCAGGTGGGGGGTTAGGATTGACATATGCAAAAATTGTTGAGCCAGGCTAACTAGAAGTGCTACGATCGCCCGGAACGGTATTTGTGCCGCCGATAACGAACTCGCTACCTCCTGCGACAATGAACCAGCACTTAAGGAATATCAACAAGTAAAGGCCGAAATATGAAATTACATGGCAGCATAAAGGCAACATACGGACATCATAACAGAATCGAAAGATGAATACAACAGGGATTGATTCAGATATTTTATTTTGTGACAAAGAGTATGATATACTGCTATTTCTAGAAATTCCGCTTGAATACTGAGTATTCAACTATATATGTGTAAATAGTTTGCAGTGTATCTTACAGTGTAACATTTTTAAACATTCATTTAGTGGCATATTTTTGATTTGTTCTCTCTGTGTGTATACCGGTACTGTTTTAACAATGTTGGCCTCGTCAATGTATCAATTAGGCTACAGACCTGCTCACGTGTGATTAGTGTTTTTCCTAATAATTGCTTTTATGAGTGTCCGCACACCGAATTTGCCGCCATGGTTTTGCGTTTGTTTGTATATTGAACCACTTATCACCTTTTCCGCAATGCCCAATCTAGCAATCAGTGTAGTTTTTCATGGCTTGGTTTTTCTTAAAGCTTTCATGGCTTCATGAGTATGACTATCGTCGCAAATTTATTACATTCCACTCCCCACATTATCTTTGCATGAGGTTGTAGGTATTGGTCATTATTAACGTAATTGTTGAAAGAGAGTACAACAGGCTGACGGCTAACTCGCCATGAGGGCTAACTCGCCATGGACCACTCGCCATGCGACGGCGGTTAACGGGTTAGCCTGCAACTGTGCGGAGGCTCTTCTTGTAATGGGAGATGGAAAGGTGGCTGTTTATACTAACAACTTCAATAGTAAGGATAAATATATTAAATTAAATGTGTTTGGTTACAATACCTACTGTGCAAATGGTAACAAAGTGACAAGAAAACGGGCTTATATGTCGGAATGCATACCGGTACCGTACGGTACTCGACGCGCAAAAGATGTCTCAACTTATCATTTTCATCTAAGCATGCTAAATATATCATCATATTAATTGATTGTATGAGCTCTGAATCAACAACAACGCTAAATATATCAAAAGTTCTATTTTGCTACCGGCAGTCTCATTTTATTCTAACAGCCGTTGATTGCAAGCAGAGAGGGAGAGAGAGAGCTAACTCGCCATGTCTTTATTCTTTATAATTGACGATCGACATCGCGAGTTCGAGAGAGAGGGCTAACTCGCCATGTCTTTATTCTTTATAATTGACGATCGACATCGCGAGTTCGAGAGAGAGAGAGGGCTAACTCGCCATGTCTTTATTCTTTATAATTGACGATCGACATCGCGAGTTCGAGAGAGAGAGAGGGCTATCTCGCCATGTCTTTATTCTTTATAATTGACGATCGACATCGCGAGTTCGAGAGAGAGAGAGGGCTAACTCGCCATGTCTTTATTCTTTATAATTGACGATCGACATCGCGAGTTCGAGAGAGAGAGAGGGCTAACTCGCCATGCCTTTATTCTTTATAATTGACCATCGACATCGCGAGTTCGAGAGAGAGAGAGAGGGCTAACTCGCCATGTCTATTTTCTATATAATTGTCGATTGCCCTGATGCCGGCTGATATTAGTGTTAAGCCAACTCACCACGACAAGGTTTCAGCCTTCGAGTCAGAATTTCTTTTTACCAGAAGAAACCCAAGCACAGATAGGCATCATAGCTGTACATGGAAAAGAAACTGAGGAAGGGGAAAAATACTTACACTAGGTTACTTACTCTTTACAAAAGGCCGGGCCGTAGATTTTTGAACATCTTCGAAGGAGAGCCTCCGCAGATAATCCTCCGTCCTTGAAAACACTCCAAACTTCCTTCAGCTTGTCATTTGCCTCGCTGTATTTTGCGTCAGCCCTTCTTGGTATATTTTCCTCCATTACTTCTGCTACATCTGACTCCACCGCAATGCTGACCTCGTGAATCTTGGATATAAGGCTATAAAAAGGCATATTTGTCCGTGCTATGCTATTGAAGTACCGATGCCACCCTTCCAAATGGTTGTTAGTCCTAACGTCGACGTCGAATACTGACCAGTCTTTTGGTTTCCAAACTGAGTTCTTCAGCCATGTCCTGTCGAAATATTCGGCAAATCTATTCAACCCGTCGGTGGTCATTTTGCCTCGCAGAGATAGGAACAGCGACGGGATGTCCCTGAAAAATGGAAATTACATATTCAACAACGTTAATGATATAAACACATAAATGCATATGAGCACTAAATTACTCACTTGTTATACAAACTTGCTAATTTGTTCTGTCGCATGTTCTTCATGATGGCCTGAGTGAAATGGAATGCACATCCCTGTCTTCTCACATCCGGCCATACCAGAGACAGTGCTTGCCATGTTGCTGCTTCAAAGTCCATGACAAATTTCTTCACACGAGTACCTGAAAAATTTAAATGCAGTATAGTTTTGATAGCCTTGAAAACATTTTCATAATCACACTTACGTCGCCTTGACATTAAAACAAAAACGAGGGGCAGTTGTTTGGTACATTCACCACTTCGAACGAATGCGTGAATTGAAAAGAGTTGATAATACGGGTCCCTAACAACATCAAAAGTACCGTCCATGTACCAAACTTTTGAATTGGCCAAAATTTTCAATTGCTTTTGGGTTGCGAACAAAAGGTGACGCGCTCCCTCTATTCTGATATCTTTTAATAAGAAATCAGTAGGTAAATAATCTATTTTCAACTCATCGTTAATATCTGATGGATCTGTGGGTCTGTTTCCCTGTCTTTTCCTATTGCAGAACCTCTTCAATGTTCCTTCCTGAAAGGGAAAGGTAGAAAAAATGAAAATTAAGTACCCTGAAAATCACTACTAAAATTGGACAACTAATTACAACGATACTTACATTAGTGAATCTTATAGAAGGCGGGTTGGTCATGTCTCTCCTTGCCGCTTTCGTAATGATTCCACATGCCGTGTACGGATTTTCCAACCCGCGCTTCAAAACTGCCCTGTTGAGAAGGACGCGGGGCCGTTCGTTTGGTCTGGGTTCGTGGGTATGATCCAAACCATTTCTACTAAAATCATCCTCTGTTTGGTATACCTTGGCCGGGCATATATTTCCTTTCCTCCGCACCGAACACCGCCAGGTAACTGTAGATAGAAAAGATTAATTAGAAACATTGCAATTGTTTGTTGTAGTAATATGAGTTTCACTATAACTCACCACTTCCATTGATATTAGTGCGAAGAACCGTATAGGAGTAACCGTGCCTCTCATACAGCTTGGGGTGTTTTCTTTGACTCAGGTCCCCTTCCACTACGAAGGTCGTCTCGGCATTTTCGCTGGATATGTCCCTGGGAACAGAAGCCTCTATGGATGACTCCACCACCCCTGAACATCCGACGGGAAATGTAAAAATTTCCTCAGTCTGTAAAAAAGAGCAACAAGTTAGACATATAGGCTAGGTGCGAAACACTAGGGATCTAAATGAGTAATGAGAGAGGATATTTACCATAGGTATTGGGCTAATCTCAGAGCATTCAGAGTCGGAGTAATCAACGAGTCGTGGAATGTTCGTCGGCGGGGCCAGATGTATCGTGGAATCATTCCGCTGTTGTTGTTGATGATCTTCGGCCTGCAAAGAAACAAGATCATTATAACTTTTTGACTTTTATACTTATATAGAAAATAGATATATACTATATCTTCTATACTTACCTTTGTGTAGCAGTCTAGGCATTTCCAGTCAAAAGTGACGTCTCGACTTTTCAGTAATCTGTATTGCGGCCTGGACATTCCTACTGTAGTTCCATTGAAACATTTTCGGTGAAACCACCGAACACAAATGTCGCAGATCAAGCCTTCTTGTTTGTTGGTGACTGTAGACATGCATTCGTTGCAGACATTAGTTGCATTCATCGTTGCTTTGAGTTTGAAAATCGTAGACAATCGAAGTCGTAATAGAAATTCGTAGAATCAGTTCAAGAACTGTGGTATTGTATCCGTTGATATTGCCACATTTATAGTGCTTGGCTATGGTAAGGCGTAAGACCGGAGATAAATTACGCTTACGCTCAGTGATAATACTATCTGGGCTGGCGTAAAATCGTAGATATGTCGAAGATAACTAGTTCGTAGATAAGTAGATGAAACAGGGTCGCTGTTATCTTTTACCCTTTATCTCCGAACTCATACCTATATTATCTGCGTTTTATCTCATTGATACGAACGTAAGATAAGGGATATTAGAAAAAGATTTGTACTACGATTGAAAAACAAGAGAGCTATATGGACACGTAGAGTCACTTAATTTTGATGACGTCATAGCGAAAAAAAAGCCTTTTAAAGGAAAATTTTATCTTTTACTGAAAATGTCAAAGCAATTGGTCCAATATTCGAAGAGAAAAGCGAGAATATAAAGAATAATTATAAAGAATAAAGACATGGCGAGTTAGCCCTCTCTCTCTCTCGAACTCGCGATGTCGATGGTCAATTATAAAGAATAAAGACATGGCGAGTTAGCCCTCTCTCTCTCTCGAACTCGCGATGTCGATCGTCAATTATAAAGAATAAAGACATGGCGAGTTAGCCCTCTCTCTCGAACTCGCGATGTCGATCGTCAATTATAAAGAATAAAGACATGGCGAGTTAGCTCTCTCTCTCCCTCTCTGCTTGCAATCAACGGCTGTTAGAATAAAATGAGACTGCCGGTAGCAAAATAGAACTTTTGATATATTTAGCGTTGTTGTTGATTCAGAGCTCATACAATCAATTAATATGATGATATATTTAGCATGCTTAGATGAAAATGATAAGTTGAGACATCTTTTGCGCGTCGAGTACCGTACGGTACCGGTATGCCTTCCGACATATAAGCCCGTTTTCTTGTCACTTTGTTACCATTTGCACAGTAGGTATTGTAACCAAACACATTTAATTTAATATATTTATCCTTACTATTGAAGTTGTTAGTATAAACAGCCACCTTTCCATCTCCCATTACAAGAAGAGCCTCCGCACAGTTGCAGGCGAACCCGTTAACCGCCGTCGCATGGCGAGTGGTCCATGGCGAGTTAGCCCTCATGGCGAGTTAGCCTCCACCCGTACAACAGCCCGAAAGTTTATTACTATCGTGTATTTTGTTTTTAAGTTTGGCCCAAGCCTCATTTAATTGGGCTTGTGTTTTTGTGTGCGTGCTGGTGGGCAGGCACATGAGATACTTCATGTTTTAAACTTTTTTGTAGGTTTTGCATGCCCTCCAGAATTCTCCATTTTGAATTTAGGTTTGTTATGGAGTTTTCGAAATAAACTACCGTAAAAGCGCCTAACTTCGGACAAAATTACTATATTTTCGTCAATAACTCGGCCATTTATTGTCCAAACGGTGCCAAAATTGCTCGGTAAAACATTCGTGCGGTAATTTACATTCCCTGCAAATTTCGGTTCAAATGGACTATTTTTACTATTGAAATAATCGATATTTCTTGCCATCTGACCGTTATCCTCCACTGCCCTAACTTCGGACAGTCATTTTCTTCACTGCGTAACCGCGACGCACAGAGAGAAAGAGGCTTCCGATGCGGATGACGTATCACGTCGTTGCGTGAAGATAAGACGTTCGATCGTCGTCGTAACGTAACATTGACGTCACGACGAAAATGCATTATTTGAAACTTCCGTCGTCCTATGTTTACATCTTTCGTTCGTTATTTTCGATACTTCAGATGAGTATAATAACACGTTAGTCATTATAATCAGGAAATGCATACGTAAATATATCTGATGCAAACCGTTTCAATCCACAATGAAGTATTTTAACGGGCTTCTATCGAAGTCTTTGAAGTATTAATATTCTCGACAGATAGCTTTTTTTTATTCTGCGCGGTTATCTTTATAAATGATAATTTATATCAAACACACGGTAAATCCGATTGTAAAGTTTAATTTAAAATTCAACTTAATCTTGTAAACATGTAGGTCCCGTTTATTTGTTGGAGATTAAATTTATTTTTAATTTCGAGTGAATAAAATTCAATAACTGTCATTTCGACTACTAATCATAAAATAATTGTTAAGTCAGTGCACTGTGCCATATGGACGTTGGAATTATCATAGTTTTATATATTCGATTTTTAACGTCATCGATTAAGTGTGACATGTATTTTCATTAATGTAATTTTGGCATATATTCATACCTGACCGAACATAATACAAAAATATTACATTGGAACACCGTCTTTATCGTAACGGAAATTGTCATATTGGCTCCATTGTGTCTGGCGTCAAAATTCATTTCCGCGACGCAGTGTGACGTCGTGTCGGAAGTGAGCGAAAAATAATCTATGTGAGGTTGACGTAATTTTGACGCTGCGTGAAATCTTAATATTCTTACGGAATTTATAATTCAGAATTTTAGGTTTTATTTATATCTCGTACGACATCTTGCGATCACTCAAATAAATTATATACATTGTTGTCGCCCTCTACCGAATGATGGTATTTTGACGATGATAGCTTCAGTAGGAGCGACGCTCTGCGCCGTTGAATGCCGGGCAGTCAATTTTCGGCAAAATTTCCGTTTTTTCACCAAAAAAATAATTATGCAACATTAAAAAAGATGAGAATAGATGTAGATATAACAGCGCAACCTATAATAATTAAAATTAGCAATATACGGCGCGTTTTAGCCAAGATAAGACCGTTCAAAAATTTTGTCCGAAGTTAGGAACTGTCCGAAGTTAGGCGCTTTTACGGTATCTATCTATCTATCTATCCTTCTCATATCGTCAGTATCGTTATCGTTGCGACGAGAAAACGAGAGAAATAGCTTTATTTCGCTGCTGGGACTTCGTAGTGACATAATTTTTTGGTGACGTAGTCAGGTAACGGTTAGGATTGACATATGCAAAAATTGATGAGCCTATCCAAAGCACTATTCAAATTTAAAGAATTTCCTTCCAATTGGCGCGGTGGTGTGGCTCATCGGCTCATCGTGCTAAGCGTTAAGAATACGCCTGCCACCGCACCTCTAATTACTCTGCGTGAATTGGAAGGTTTGAACCCCTCATGCAGGAACCCCTCATGCTTCCAAAAAACAAGTAGGCCTAACCAACTAATCCCATACCCGACATGGAATGGTAACCAGACGACAGGCCGTGGTTCGCCATATGGATAAGCCGTCTTATCGACTTTTCTCTCCCCCGAGACAAATATGTAAATCCTATCCTATTTGGTACAATAAAACAAACACTCCATGTATCTCACGAACGAGGGGCGTCTGACACACGTCAGATGCATCATATCACGCCATACTTGTCTCAATAATATTCTAAATTAATCGAGGCCGTCACATGACCAAAATTGCTGTTTTTTGCTAAAAACTTTCGAATGCCACAGTAAAAAAACTTTTCCTTTGGTAAATCGGATTATTTTCTTTTTCAATGAAATTCAATGATGACGTTATTAGATTGCGCTTTTTTGTAGTATTTTGCGCAACTTCATTATACAGTATTTTTACCGATATTGAGGGACAACAATGTCCAGACGTCTTCCAAAGGAGGGGTGTCTGATCATCGGTAAAATGGGTTTCTTTGAAACGAGACAATGTGGCTCGATCTGTATATTGTGCCGTACTAAAGTGGCATGTGGTACTAAACTATACCAGACCCTCTTCATTGTGTGATTGTGACATCGTAGTGATGTACCGGTAATTTTTGGATGACATAGTCAGGTGAGGGTTAGGATTCACATATGCAAAAATTGTTGAGCCAGCCCAACTGGAAGTACATGTGGTACTAAACTATACTAGACCCCAAAATTTTTTCAATCCCCCGTTGATACACCTACACACTGGAGCTGTTTCCATCTGGCTCAGTTCTCTGATTCCAAGAATAGCTCCCACATTGAAAGACATTAAATATAATGGCGTCGTTGTGCCAGACACCTCGTTTTTTTACCTTCCCAGTCTGCAAGTAATCAATGTGAGTTTGATATTAATAGGTATTTTAGACTAGCCTACATCTCTAAGACTGTAAGAGGCCTATAGTAGTAATATACTTTCTATATACCTTCCAGGGGGACCTCAATAAGTCAACATGCAGACATGATATAAATACTGCAGTAGACTAATATCACAGCATCACTTTCAATTTCTTCCTGGACTAGAAGTTTTGTTGCAGCAAGAAAATGAAGACAACATCTACACTATCATTTCAGGGATTCTCCTCCGTTCCATCTCTTCATCTTCGGCATGTTCGTTCATTAATTCATTTGTTTCCTTATGAAGAGGTTCCAAGACATATGCAAGGCAACCCCCACATAACTGCAGGGTATAGATGTTATTTATCAGCAAGGCAATGTCTCAAAAGTATGTTTGTTTTATCAAATGAATTGGTAAATATTTGGACGCATTTAGGAATGGCATTAGCATGGATATTCTTGCTATTATATGATCAACTTGTTAGTTTGCCTTCAGCTGGAGCTGGATTATCGGACCATTTTGTTCATTTGACGTATGTCTTGTGTATTCAAATTTGTATGGTTTCATCTGCAGGGTATCATATCTTTAATTCACATACTCTAGAAAATGTATGTTTAAGGTGGTATGCCATTGACTTGGCAGGAATAATTACAGGTGTATTGGGATGTTATATTCCTGGCCTGCATTATGCCTTTTACTGTTTTCCTTATATCAAACTTCTTTACCTTGTATCAGTTGCAGCTTTGATCGGTATTTCAATTTTCATGGTGACCCAACCCCTTTACCTGAGTCATGCATGGACTAGATATAGAATGTCCCATATAATAACTTTGGTTTTGTATGGAATTGTTCCTTCAGTTCACTGGGTTTTCATCTCTAGTAGGAGAGAAATTGAATTATTTCTACCCAATGTAATGACAATGTACTTAATACTGGCTATTGCGTTTTCATTCTACTTATCTCAATTTCCTGAGCGATTCTTGCCTGGGAAATTTAATCTTATAGGACAAAGTCACAACTTGTGGCATGTCATGACAGCGTTTAGTTTTATATACTGGCGACATGTAGCCCTACATATAATGCTATACCGTGTGGAAAATGAGTGTTCTATTGACCAAGCATAAAAAGGTTCTAATTATACAACCTTTCAGAAGTTATTCCTTCATATTTTTCTCCAAATGTGCAAAGTGCCTAAACCAATCAATGTGAAGCAACTTTAAAATAAATCACCATTTTCAACTAGTGCTATTTATTAGGTAAATTAATTTCTATAAAAGAGTGCACATTCTCAGAAATTATACAAATTTTAATAATGTGCATACGTATCTGTAAGCCTACTGCTACTGGGATTGGACATTGAGATATATGATTACACATTCCGTGTCTGCTGGTCATGTTAATAAAACCAGAAATTCATAGTGAATGAATGCAAAAAATGTATATGCAAATAAGAATCACACACAGAAATACTTCAAATCCAGTTTATTTTGATTACCTCAAATTGTTCTATTTAGCCCACCGATATTGCTCATGTAATCTTGTGTTATGTTATTGTACTGACTTTTTATTGATGCGTAAATATCTTAACTGTACTGTTCTCTGTATAATTTTAGTTTGTATACATAACCCTCCTTTCACTTTGCTACTATTATTTTAGCAAATAATGGGATCTGGGGAGCATTTCTGATAAGCGGTATCTTTTAATGAGAGTGTTTGTTGAAAAATTGTAATAATATTGAGCCTATACTTGTTCATCAAAATGTCTGTTCTGGCTGTAAGTGACTTCATGTTTGGAAGTTTATTGACAGAGCTGAAAATGAAGCCATGGTGGGAAACATTTCGTGGATATTGTTTTGCAGCAAGTGTGGCGATTGCATTATTTTTAACATATCTCTTCTCACCAACACCGGATGTGAGGTGCTTACCCTCAACGGGAAATGAAACTCTTCAAAAGCAGTTTTCAGCTCAGGAGTCTTCTTTTGTGAATAATATTTGTCGCAATCAATTGCCATGGTATATAGGATATGCTGGAATAATATCCATTGTGTGCACAGTCATAATTATTATTTTTTCATCTTATTGGCTCCATCACCCAGATATTATCAACTCATTTCGAACCTTTTCCAGAGCAGAAGAGCTTATTGAAAGTGTTAATTTATCTGTTGGAGATTTGAAAACTGCATCATACAAACCACTGGACTCTAAAATTGAAGAAAATGCGAAAGTTAGGAAAGCGTGTCTGTTGCTATGGAATTACACAAGCAATGCTGAAATCTATACCTGGTATTTTGTACGGAATCTTCTCTTGTTGCTTAGCACAATTGCTGCAATTGGTATATCCACATACATACTTATCCTAATTGGAACTGATAGTGATATGTTTCTTTGTAACTTGGCACGGGATAAAGATTTTAATTCCACTATTGCTACATACAAAATGATGACAAATAACTTCTGCTCCCATAATGCATCAAGGAGGCTCTTTCCTTTTGTGGTTTCGTATATTGTTACACTTGCAGCACAGTCTTTATTCATTTTGATAGGAATTTACAAAATGACTAAGTGTCGTGAAAGCATAATATGTATACCTGTGACTTATCGATCTGAAGTTGTTGGAAATAATTATTTCACTGCTCATGGTACAAAAGCAGCAGCTTTTTCTCAATTTATGGTAAAGTTTTGGAAAAACTCTCGGCCTGTGAGTTCAGGATCGTTTGCTCAATTTGTTTCTTTCATATTTTATGATGTTTTAAATCCAATCAAACAAAATTTGAGATCTGCATTGAGTTTGGATAAACAACTGGTTGAAGTATATTCTGTTTTGAAGAAAGGTGGAGGAAATGAGATATTGACAATCATACATGACATTCTTGAAAGAAGAAATTTTTTGGATGATTCAACATACGCGATGTTATGTGATGTTGTGAATTGTTTGACAGGAGAATTGTCATGGAACCAAAATTCAGAAATTCTACTTCAGAAACTCTATGATCAACAACTTTGGGAAATGTTTGTTCTTATTATTTCACTTCCATGCTGGACAAAATCACAGGAGGACAATATAATTCAATATTTAATCAATCTCAAAATAAATCCGAATCAGATCGGGAGACCTTATATAGCTGAACGCTCCATTTTGTTTTATGCAATGTCAGCTACAAAAAATGACACAGTTAATGTGGATGGAACACGGAGGATTTTCTCAGCAATGATTGATGGTGAGCATAAATTTGTTCATTACGGAGGTATTACTAGAAGAGCGGAACAATTTTTCATAGAAGACTCTTGGAATACACCAGGTGGGTATCTTGCAATAAATCAAGTCCTTGGTTTTGTCCGGATAAGTGAGAACACAAAGGAAAGTGAGAATACAGAGAAAAGTGAGAACACAAACAAATCTCCCAGTGTAAGCGAAGGAATGATTGGTTCGTTGATTTTACAACACTGTAATAAAACCGCGTTATTGAAGCCAAGATACAGTGACGTGACATTTGAGCACAAAAAATCCTATGAAAAGTATATAAAATACATTACAAACTTTGCGAGAAAAATATCTTATCTCAAATTTACAAAGTGGGATGAGAATACAAAAAAATTATTAAAGTATGCTTATGATGAAAAGCAGTGGATCATTTTTGTCGAACTCCTAAATTCCTTCATTGATGAAAAATACATGACACGCAACAGATCTGATTCATTTACAAGTGAAATTGATTGTGGAATTACAGAATTTGATGTCAGCACTCGAATAAGTGAAGAAAATATACTTTTGCATTCCACTAGTTACAGTGGGTCTATTTTATATTATGCCATGACAAAACCCGAATATCGTCTGCACTTTGTACCAACTGCAGCACGACATATTTTAGCTAATACAAAGAACCAGGAAAAACTTGTACGAGATGAAATGGGTCATCACCACGCAGCTTCAAAGTTTGTTCTGGAGAATGATACTTTAACTATAGGCGACAGGGACATGTTACAACTCTTACTTCAAGAAAGCGATAGAGGAAACCTAGAGAGAAATACATCTGTGAGAAGCCACAGTTCACACCATAGCAGTGGCGGCCAAATTACTTCAAGGTCAACATATAACAATCAAGGTCAAATTTTTAATGATGTGCCATCAACATCACATACAAATCAACTGTCTCATAGGACCCCTATAACATCATTGATTACCAAACAAAGTAAAGGTTCAAAGCAAAGTGATGTAATGCTTGGGCATGATGCAGCAAATTTATCTTTTTTATCTGAGGCAGAAAATGAGAAGGTATCATTGGTCACGAGGGCAACATCTGATCCACAGTTGACAAATTCTGCTGCACACAAGTCAAGTATGGTATAAAATAATATGGAGGGCATTATTGTGTCTAGCTCATTTTTTCATATTGATGTAAAATGACGGTATATCTTATGAATGTTAAAGCTAGCTTCCTCCTAATCAGGTATTAAAATTTTGACCTACTTTTCCGCAAAACTGTTGCAATAACACCATACATTTCTGTCTCTGCAATTTTTGTGCCACGTTCGACTTGATTTATATAGAAGTACACACATATACTTGCCATCAAACATATTTTTCTGCAATATTTATCATCTATACTAGCAGTCTGGAGAATTTGGTTTGAACTGATTTAAAATTAAGGCTATTTTGTAAGATTCCGCGATAATGAAAATCATTGTTAAATCATGGCATATGAGTGTTGAAATTGGTAATTATTATGTTTTGGTATTTAGAATATTGAAAATCGAAATTGATTTATAGTTAAATTTCAGGAATAATTTAATTAGATCTGAATGTTTGCACCTGGCAGTTTTATCAAATTATCACCTTTGATATATAATTATTTTGACTCGTTTATCAGTTATATCTTGCCAACCATGTTATATTCTCATAACGTTTCAGTATTATACTCCATTTTTTACCTACTTGCCATGTTTTAATTATTTCGACTCATTTATCAGTTATATCTTGCTAACCATGTTATATTCTTATAACTTTTCAGTATTATACTTATATACATTTTTTAATTTGTTGTCATATGCTGTCTATATATGCAGTTTCTCAACAATCGTGTTACATTTAACTCTTTTTTTATAGTATTTTCCACTAATTACATATCTATATCTGATTACGGCAGTTAACATTCAAGTACCACATGTAATGTGATTTCTAACGCATTGGACAAAGCGATTCAAGCAAATAATCTTTCCGCTAGCTGGTGTAGGGATTTTCCCCATAGCCCTAGTAATGTACATATGCCCTAGCACGGAAGAAATGGATCGTAGATCTGAAAATAGGTATGAACAGCAGAGTAGGCTGTAGAGCGTCTCGAGTTGTGATAGGAGGGTGTTAACAACAACAACAACAGTTGTTCTATTCAATTAAAGAGTCCAGATGCACACTAACACAAATGTATTTCTGTAACGTTTCGTCCGACCAGAGTCAAACTTCCTCAGACAAGCAGTTTACAACAATGGCAAGAAATAAATTTGCTAAATGAATTTGAAATATCAAATCAAGTATGACGTAACGATGCATAAACATTTAATTTGCATTTAGCCGTAGAAGTAATGATGGGAAGATTAGAACCACAAATATCAGTGGAGCTCATTTCAGATGTAATTGAAAAAAATAAAAGGTTTTATTATTGCATTTACGAAAATGATGGGTAACTAAATGTAATTGAAATTATGGGCACTTAGAGAACCACGAGGAAGTAAACCAACATTTAAACATAAATCAAGGCTTAGTCTGGTGAGGACCAATTTTTAAAATTAAAAAAGGTTTAAAGTTATTGCTGAATTTTGATCTTAAATAGCGTTAAAATATAATATTAATTCATAATAATAAATTAACCATCTAGCATATTTCGAGTAGGACAAAAAAAATATGGCAAGCACATTACTCCAAGGTTTCGAATTATAATTAAAATTAAACTTGGGACACTTGAAAATAATAGTAAAATAAAACGCCAATCAAAGGGCGAGTAATAATATTAACTTAAGAAAAAGAGTGATTGTTAAATTTAAATATTATATGACGTTGAAATGAAAATTATTATTAAATAATAATTCTTAGATGAGTCTACAGTCTATTTCTCCCGTGAATTGAGTCCTTGTGGTTCCAATGTTCCGAATTTGTTGATGTAGTATGCTTCTACTGTTTGGCGATAGCCCTGGTCTCTGAATAGTTTTTTTATTCCAGTTACTGAAAAGTCACTTATTGAATGTCCCAGTTTGTTGAAGTGTTTTCATACATTTGTGCAGCTGGACTCTTTAATTGAATAGAATAGTCATGTTTATTCCAGCTACAGTATCCTTGCAGTATACGCATACGGATCCACTAGCATAAAGGCATAGAGAAAAGATAGGAAGTTAGTCTCGCGCAACCCAACTCAAATTTAACAACAGTTGTGATAGGAAATTGCTTGTCAGTTGATTTATAGCTATTGTGCATCAGCCGTGCGATATCCGGTTGGTTAAGAAAGCCCCGATTTTGATATGTTACTGCGAGAATTTGACTAAGGTGAATGAAGAATTTCCGCGTGTGCGCATCACCTAGCACAGGGCTGCCCCAACTCATAAGTACACATTTTAGTATAATATAAGTTAAGTATGTTTCGTGATTTTGGTGTGATTGTTCCTGCCAATTACAACCAAATGTCGGTTCTCTTTATCACGCATGCATTGGGTTAAAGGTATGTTTCGTGATTTTGGTATGATGTTCCTGCCAATTACAACCAAATTACAAAACAAACCTTTAGGCTCTTTTATTTCATGCAGAACTGTTTGTTCTGTTCTACAAACTCAAAAGCTACTGTGCGATTATTTGCGACGAGACGTCGAGGAAAATTATAGGAATGAATTTGCAACCTCGATTTCCATATTAACTTCATTTTGATTATTATCTTTCGTGTCGGCTTTGGTCGTCACCGTAAAATAAAAAGTGAACAATATCGTTGCTACTGGCTTCGGGATTCGTTGTATTTTTCTGTTCTCTGTGCAATATTTGCGTTAAATAAAGCTAAATGTCGTCACTGCGGATCGGTTAAAAGTTTTGCCGATCTTGTGAGATAGTAGTATACATATATATATATATATATATATAAATTTTCTCTGTTCATTTTTCCGCCATTTCTACGATATATCTGTCTTGAAAAAAATAAACGAGATCCTTTTAACTATACTCAGTTATAAACTCCGCATGATGCTCTATTGTTCATATGTTTCGTTTGCAAATTGTGCCTGACAAAATACCAATGCGTTTTCTAAAAGAATGCACTAGGTGAAAATGACTGTACTTTCATCTTTTGTGTTCTGGTTACATTTGTACGACGTTTTATACGACTTGCACTCCCTAAACTCTGTGTAATTGGAAGTACCTGAGTAGTTTATTTTTTCTATGTTCATCACGTTTTTGAGCCAGAGCCCAGGTGTATTTTAATCTATTGTTACGAGGAAAGCAAAATTTCACAACTCGAGCAATATGATAGATTCAAAACATCAATACCTAACTTTGAACCCAAACATCAACATAAACAAAGTAAATTTATTACATAAATTCATAGTATACTTCATTGAAGTTTGTATAATATATTCATGAGGAAAGTTATCATAAAAATGATGGAAACCAATTGGCATAATTAATTTTATTTCTTGAAGATCAATAAATTTCCCAGCAGTTTGTGGGATATGAGATCTGAACATTGGAACCCAGTGATTTAAAAAATGCATAACGGTCCCCCTAAAATTTTTGTGATGACTCGTGGCTGAATAATTTATTTATCAAATTAAGGTTTTATTCTTTTTATTATCAAGTTTATTATTTATTTGTTCTTTTCATTAAATCCGAATCAGAATAGCAACACGTTACATCAAGCATTCGTTTATTGCATGTTATTAGTAAAGTACAAAGGGGAGAATAATGCTACTTAGCTTCCACCAGTTCAAATATTTTCTGCGTGTTGCCATTTTTCTAATTATAATTAAATTGTAGGCTCGTTAAACAAGTAGCTGTTCACACTAAATTGTTATGTTAATATATAATTTAATCTACACATGTTTCACAATATAAATTCTGTTATGTAAAGAATATAATCAACTCCTCGAGCGTGGATTATAGAATTAATTCATCGTTAAGTCCGCGGCTTTGTCGCTATAATTCAGTAAAGCGTCGCGGACCGGGTCCCTGATTGATTCTTAAGGATTCCATAAGTACGATTAAATCGTGGTGCACGTGGGACACGACATTTTGGAGACACCCCTGGTCGGCGAGCATTAGTAGATGTGAGTGATGGACAGTGTTACAAGCGCCAATAAAATTTCCTTGTTATAGTCTTTTTAATCATGTTACATCCGACTGAGTAGTTGACCTCAGTCATATCTTTTTATTTATTAGTAACTGCAAACTAAATCAGTGGTCCAGGCGCCGGTCCGCAAACCGGATTTTGCCAGGTCGCGAGAAATTATGTTGGTTTGTTATTTTGTACCAGTGTAGTCACTTGGTTATCGAATATACAGAGCAAGTTGCTTGGCAATTAGCCTTTAATTAGGTGGTATTGACAAGCATGCCAGGCAGTGTCTTGGCCGACTAATCACACTTTATATAGGATTTGATCATTTGTGAGAGCGCTTTGTTAATTCGCGCACGCCTCTAAAATCTACGAGTCGTTATGTGTATTCATCAACACAGCCTCCGCATGAAAGTGAACATTTCCGTATTGCAATATCATCCCTTTTACACTGTGGCTTCCATACGATGCCTTATCCGGTAGGATGGGATTTTCAAACCTGTACATTTTATTCTTGAAACCTAACTTCCGAGCTTCCAAATTAAATTAGATGGAGAATCTTGGGTGTCGCTGCTCGATAACCAAATTTGGTTCCCCGCGGCTTCCCTTCCCCAGTAAAAATGTGTGTTAAATTTTGTTTATTTTTTGATTTTGTATGTTATTTTTTTGCTGGTCGGAAAAAATAAAATTGACTATATGACTATGAAGATTTTCCGCGCATTGCCGCTCATATATTTTTGGGTCAGTGTTCACCGTCCACGTCCCCTTGCAGTCGATATGAAGGCACTTTGTTTCCCATTGGGATATTTAAATTAAAAATTCTAATTTTTAAAGTTGCTGTAAGTTTCTGGTTGTGGAGTCGCGAGCATCTGTACTCGTAGTCTTCGTTTTCATGAAAATTGTGGTCGCAAAAAAAAAAGGTTTGAGAACCAGTGATATAGACACATCCGATAGTTACATTCGAGCGCCTGAATTGAATGTGTCGACAGGGATCCTCATTAAAAAGTATTGCTAATCCTATTAAAATGATTCCTATTCCAACACAAAATATATAAAAAAATCCGAATAATTTGGCAACGAGCGGCCCACCATGAGATGCTTTGCGGCCCACCAGTAGGCCGCGGACCACCGGTTCGGAAGCGCTGGTTTATATTAAGCTACTCAGACGTTCTTGTCAACAAACGACAACTACGCACCAATATGCGTACGGGAAACCAGTTACATCACCAAAGCTTGGCCTTAGGGCATTACCTGAAAAATGTTGGATAAAATTCATACGTTTTAAACAAGCTACAAGAAAACGTTCATTTCTATTGAAGTATGTTTTAATACGCGTTCCTGTGTTCATAATGGTATTATAGGAGAATCTGAGAGTAAAATTTATCAAACGTGCGTGATATGAAAAAATTGGCGAATATTTATTGTTCATAATGATAAGTGAACTGAAAGTCAGGTTTCTTGATTATTGATTTGGTCTTTATGTGATAATTTAGATACGATTAACAATAAATGAAATTCACCGCAATGGTGAAAAAGTTCAGATAATTAATTGAGAATTTAGAAAGACAGTTTTGCAATGTTTGAGGGATACAGTTCAGCCAAAATATGACATTCAGGTGATTAAATTTAAAATGAATTGTAAATGAAATGTTCTGAGATATTGTTAGAGCTCACAAACGGACAAAACGGCACATTTGCAACAATACAAATTAAACTAGAAGAAGTTTTAATTTTTATGTTATACTTCTGAAAAACTTGAAAATTTGTGTAGAAGCTTAATAGCAAATCTACATAAGAATAAAATGTGATATAATGTTGGTACGCTTTTTGCTAACTCATATTTATACTCACAGTCTCAGGTTTGAGCGCATTTCCTCTTAATTGGTATTACAGCGAATTTTGCAATAATAAAATTTAACTGTAGCAATATTGATTAGGTCCTATTGTAGGCTTTGATTTATACCAATAGCTGAACGACAGTGAATGCAAGGGCACAGCGTTTACCCTAATGACCTTGCCCAATTTGATTTTCGAAATGTAAAAAAATACTTCAAGTCAGTAAGGCAACTGTTCCCAAGTCTGTGTGTTTATTTGTATATATACAATTAGCTTCGACATTCCGACCTGATTAATATTTAAGACTGGCTTCTACTACTTAGTTCATGTTGGTATTTTATTGCTAATTTGTACCATCGCAAATTGGCTAATATACACTTTTGTTTAGTATTAAAGCCAGTGACATTAAAAACGTTGAATATTGCCTATACGCGCCGAGGTTTTAGTTAAACCACACATGATTTTATGTCCTTTGAGCCGTATTCCGGTTACGCGTGTAAAATATTTCAGCAAAGCCTTTCTTTCAGCGTTCTTTGTTTTGTCATGTGGTAAGTTTGACCAATGACAGACATCGAATGAAATCCGATGTATGAAGTGTCACTTCGCTTATCCTGGTTAGATTATCCGTTCATTGAAAATCTATAGCAATAAAATAATATAACAGCTTGCTTGTAAGTATGTTATACCGATAGGCGTGCCCGCTTTGACAAGATAATATGTTTAGTACAAAAACAGTATAGCGATTATCTACTTAATTTGCTTCGAAAACCTGAGAATGCAAATAAACTCAGTAAACTTCCTACCCCAATTACTAAAAAAAATCGCTTTTGGGTATTGTGATATACAAGTGTACCATCGTAAAACATTGTCCGAAAAAAAAAAATTCGTTTTGTTCTGTCAGACACATGATTGAATGATAAATAAATTTATTAAAAACATGAATATCAGAATTGCACTTACCGTGGTGTTTATTTCAATGAACGTTCTCCCGGGATACTCACGAATCTGTACAACTCAATACCATTGTCATGATAAAAACACAAACAAAACTTACAAGGATGGCGATGTTTGGAATTCAGTAAATTATCAACAATATGCTTGTGCCGAATGTATTTGCATGGAGTCAAAAGAATATACGGTAATATTTTTCGTCAAAATATTTATTCGTATTTATAATTATAGCATGGAAATTTACGTTGAGAACTTTGCACGGTTTTCCGAGGGCAATTGAACTTTAAGCAACAAACAAACAATATAAATCTGACATTGTGCTCTGCTTTGCAAGTTGTTGTGAATAAGCGGTCGAAAGATAAAGATAAATATACCTTGCTTGTTAAATGATGTAATTCAAATGAATTAATTTAACTTCAATTTTATTCTTTTTATTCACTAAAATACTTCAATTTTATTCAATAAAATACTCACATAAACTTTTGACTCGAGTAGCGAACAGAAAGAAATGTTTAAACAATTGTCATGTTCTTGAGTTTTCGAATATTTGTCTAGTACAACATACTCTGAATGTTTACCATAAAGGATTATCATTCTAACTGACAGGTATCCTGCATTGAGTTGGAAGTGGCGAACTATTCGGATGTTAAACAGACCATCAAAGGGAATGTTCGAAAGCAGCAATTTGAAGTTAAAGATCAAGTGAGAAAAGAACAGCAGCGTAACTCAAAGGAACCAAAAACAGTACACGTGGAATTAGAACTTTCAGAAAAAGAAGCGCTTGAAGTAAGATGTCAAAAAGGAATAATGCCAATTGTTGAATCACAGAAGCATGTACTTCTCAAACAAATCCACCATTTTTTCATGAAAAGAATTATGCATTGTTGTGAAAAGTAAGTAACAATAATTTTCATGATGCATTTTAATAAGGTATTTTAATATAGTACTTAGCAGTCACTTATATGGACTTATGTTGAACAGGTGGTAATTTCAAGAATTCGAAATATCTTATCTTATTTTACACCTTGGACCAGGTTGGACTTGTGCCGAACAATGAATTGTAGAAAGTTTTGAAACGAAATACATTTTCCATAAAAAAACGTTTGATTACCTTTATATATATATACTTTTATGACCAAAATTCCTCAAATATTTGGAAATGGGTATTTTGGGAAATTTTAACAATTTAATTCTTGTTTTAGATTGTCGTTTTATAGAGATGTTGATCCATCCTGCACTGTCATATTTGACGAACTTTGTAATTCTCAAGTTGTTGATCGAAAATATCCTGATCTTCCGTGCAATAAACCCTTTCAATTGACTGTTACTTAGGAAAAAATATTGTTATTATAGTTTAGTTTTCTTTGACGATAATTGTTGATTTCAAGATCGTACAATGGAATGCTGAAAAAAACATTGCCTCACTCTTTGATATAAACTTAATCTAACACTACAATGCGCTTGACAATTTATACGCCGTGGTGCACTTCTTCGACAAGAAAATTATCAATAAATGTTCAATTTATTTAATACACCAGTTCCGCGATCATTAAATTTTAAATAAGTTCGCAATCAGACATTTTGATCATATTTAATACATGGAAAATAAATTTAGTAATTGATAATTGGTTCTTATTTTCATTCTACTCACTAGACAAATTTATTTTGTATTATATTTGTTTTCTATTCTCCAGGTATTTATCTTGTTATTTTTCGTTTTTTATTCCGAATAATTGCTTATTTGTCACTACTCAAAACTTTAAAAAATTACTTGCATGCCAAGGTAGTTTTGTTATACTTCGTACAAAATCAGTCCTACGATACTTGGTCTCTGATATCTCAGCGAAAGATTAGTACAGCACATATCAGAAACTGATTAAATTCTAATTTCAAATCATCTATTGATTTTAGAGTGCTGGATATAAAGAATTACTTGCTTTCAACAATACAGCCATTACTACTCTATTAAGTCTTTAACTGACGAATTATGTCGGACAACTTTTATAGCGACTATCTGACTATACTTAAATAAAATATCACAGCAAAATATTTTTATTTTATTACGCTTACTTGTTGAAGCGATGCATTTCATACGTCTGAATCCCTGTAGTAAAATGACATAATATACTGTAATCTATATTTTCCTTTGAAAATAGCAGTTGCCCTGGCATCACCGTGTTGCTGCTAGCAAACAAATTTGTAACTGTGGGACCCGAGATCAAAATTCGAATGAGTTCTTGTACAACACGATATTATATTTTGAAAACTACAAATCAGACCAACACAGAAACAATCAACACACAAAATGGAGCGTGCTAGAGTAAGGTAAAATATCGACTCTTTTAAAACATAAACATTGGGCGCTCCCGTAGTATGTGCAACAAGATGGCGGACACATGAACATAGTATGTGAACCAAGTTAGGGTTAGGCCATAATTTGATTCCATTTTTCCTTATTTTAGTTCTATTACGAGTTTGGGGACTAGCCAAGTGACTCCCGTAGTATTTGTACCTGAAATTATAGCCTAACCCTAACCTGATACACATACTACGTTCTGGTGTACGCCATCTTGTTGCACATACTACGGGAGTATACATTTACATGCAGCCGTACACCAAAGAAAAACACAATTTTTTTCACAATTGGTGAATTTCTTAGTGAATACTAAAACTAAAAGACGAAGCCATAAAAAGCAGCTGCAATTAGTCAAGGGAAAATTGTCTTTAAATAATCAAAAGTGGATTTACAAGTAATAATTAGAAAGACTCATTACATGAATCTGTTATGGAATGTCGCAAATGATTTCTCACGATAATAGTCAGTCAGTCAATCGTTCATTTATTATCACAAAAACAAGTGTATCAAAAATTGATACAGCCAATACATATACTAATTATGGTATTTGTGTGACTGGAGTCGGGGGGACCTAGATGGGCCTTCATGCAGCGACACCTACAACGCTGAAAACAGGTTAGTACAAAAAGTAACTGAATGAAGCACAATTATTGAATATGCTGTAATTGCTATAGTTAATATATTTAAGATGAATACTCGGACTACAAATATGTAACAATCTCGGAAAAATTCAATAAAAAATGCAAGAAAAGCTGAGCAAAAAAAAAAAAATTAAAAAAAAAATCACGGAAAAGGCGGATTTGGCTAAATGCAAAAGTAAAAACAAAGAAAGCAAACAATAAAATATTTACATCAAATACAACATTTAAAACTTATATACAAAATCCAGAGAGTGAAATTAACAGATTCTAATTAAGGTTACAGCGAGGATTATATTGCAAACATAATACTATTATATGCAATTCAAGAGTCCTGCTGCACACTAACACAAATATATTTCTGTAATGTTTCGTCTGACTTTCTCAGACAAGCAATTTACAACAATCAATATACTATTATATGGGCATTATGTTCGTTAAAAAAACCTCCAACTTTCGAAGGAGAGTCGTCGATACGCTACTCTATAATATGATACCATATTGTAGATATGACTGGAAAGAAGAAATAGACCATTCAAAAAGCTGACAAGGTAAGAATTTTCCCAAGTTTAAATAATATTCCTGTTGCTTTGACCTTCTTTCCAGCGATGTAGTTAAAATGTGTAGTCCATTTTAACTGATCATCAATATGAATGCCAAGGGTATTTTAAATATTTTTGAGGGTAATTAGTAAGCATCTCAATTTTTCGATATTTATGGTAATTTTTTTGCTGGTCATCCTAGTTGTAATTTTTCAGAGTTCGTGTGCAGTTCCGTTCAAATCATTTGAATCTGAACTTCTGAACAATCCGGTATCATCAGCAGAGAGTTTGATTAGTAATTTGGTGGTGCGAGGAAGATCATTGAAAAATAAGATGAACATTGTCGGGCCTATTATTGAGTCCTACAAAAGTCCATATCTTAGAGTGGCAGGTTTGTAGTGACGTGATCTGATTTTTACACATTGCCGATGTGAAATCGAATAGCTCTGGAAAAATGTTAACGCCTGTCCGCAAAACGTAATGGCTCATTTTTCTGGTTTTCATGCTATAGTCATTAGTCAACAAACAGTGTTAAATGCTATTTTTATAGTCAATAAATATGGCTCGAATGTATTCCCTCCTCTCTAACTCGTCATAAAAATAAGTTATCATATCAATAATTGCATGATTAGTAAATTGCTCCTTTTGGAATACGAACTGACATTATTTCATAATGTTATGTCGCTCTGAAATTGAGTTAGTCTAGCATGTGAAAGTTTTTCGTTTTTCAAACACTATAGTCAATGTAGGAAGAATTGATATACATAGTTGAAACCTTGGCACATAAAAACTATCCGGTAAAATCCAAGCTCTATGGAAGAATTACACAATTTACATCGTATTGGGGAAACTATGTCAGCGGCATATTTAAAAAAATTTTGTTGTCATATATATAATCATAACCAACTGCTTTATCGTCAGGTAAATTTGGTATAGTTCAATACATTTCCTTAACAGTTGTCGGCCTGAGAGTAAAATAATCTTTTACAGAGCTCATGAGACAGCTCAAAAAAGATTCACTGTGGGAGATTTTCTAAGAAAGCTTATGGAAATAAAATAATCATTAAAATAGTTGGCAAATACGCATGGAAGACTGTCGTCCCATTTTCTGTTTTTAGCTTTTAAATGCAGTTTTTTTTTTTGACGTTGACCAGAAGCCCGATTATATGCCATGTGGATTTAACGCCACTTCTGAATTTTATAGTAATACAATTTCTTTGCCTTGGCTATCAGAACTGCAAGTAAATTGATCTAAGTTTATAAAATCTTTGTTTACCCTTTTAAAGTGAGTTTTGAGCATTTTATGTTTCTTCTTATCTTCTTAACTGAGATGCGAATTCCCTTGGTCAACCAAGGTTTGGCTAGAAATCTAGTGGTACGCCGACTCGGTACTTTCATTGATACATTGGTATCGATGGTTGATTTAATTAATATTTCGACGAATGAATCGAATAAAAATGTTCGAATTATCATGCGTAATTTGGCAGTTCGATATCGGGGGAAAGAAGATTTAATTAAGGACCGATCTATAGGTATCGATGGAGAAATATACCATATTACACTTGAATACTTTTGACTTACAGCATGAGCAGAGACTGTGCGAAATTGTTCATAATGATCACTAATATCACTTAAGATGACAAAGCTTGACGAATGATAGTTATGAAATTTGTAAAAGGACACTCGTGACATGCTAAGATAGTGGTTTCTATTCTAAAACCCAACTATGTTTCATTTTTGCCGCGGGCCGCACGTTAATAACATGTCATGAATAACAGTTCCGAATTTTCTCATTCGTTTAATGAAAGGCGCAAACGAGTACCTGTTTGTTCGTTTTTACATGAATTCGTCTTCGTGTGTACGATGTCTCAGTTTGTCAAGAAAATTAGGTCAAATCATAGCGAGTGTATTTCTTGTTTTGTTGTGGATACTCATTATCACAGTGTTCAGGAGGAAATATAAATATAAATAACAAAACCTCATGAGTTCTATTTTACGGTTGCAATTACTGTAATTAAGATTACGTGTAAGATTAAAGAAAGCCTCAAATTATTACGTCTGATTTCATTTATATATATCACGTGCTTTTTTATATGTACTAAAATATTAGGGTTTGTTCGCAAGATGGCAGTTATTACTCATTTTCAAATCAACTTGTCAATCGACTCTTGCCCTCCAGATACACGTGGAGATAAAAAGTATAAAGTTTATGCGGGAACCACTAATTTTGACAAGACGAAGATCACTCTCAGCATATGCTTCAAGCTTCATACCAATTCTATCTCAGAACATATAACCAAATCAAATAGCAGCAAATATTACATCAAAATAAAATTCCGGACTTTTTTCTACTAGATCAGGTAAATTACAATGATCCCATTTACATAGAACCCCTTATACTCTTTCTTTCAAATAAACTTATAACTTTAAATTTTATACTTTCTTTAATAGAACGGTATTTGGAATCATATAGGGCAGCGGTTTCCAAATTTTTTGTTCATGCGGCGCCAAATTTTCAGGGAGAAAACTCACGGCATTTGAGCAAAAAAAAAATTGCTGCCTAAAAAAACTCAATTAGTGTACTTTATGCCTTTCAAATGTTTGAAAACATGTATGTCTGAAGAATGAAGGCAATTTCAACTCATTTTCCTTATCTTTTTCTTTGGAATGTTGAAAAGTCGCTGAAATCGGTTCAGCAGATAAATAAATTGCAGCTCCTGGAATTGCAGAAAGTAATATCTACCTCATAGAAAAGGTAAACAATAAAACATTTACAATAAATACAATATGTAAAATATTTAATAAATATTAGTTATGTTTAACCCAATTCGGTTGATCCAATAACTCTTCCATGATATTCTTGAACTAGACATAGGCGATATTGGTATTTTAGTGTAACACTATCCTTTGCCAATGTATTCCTACTTTATATATATATATATGTAAAACTTGGTATCATTGAAATAAGCGAATATATAAATTGATAAAAAAAAATTCTTCCATTGAGATAATCTTTAATTAATGAATATTATTTAAACAACACACGCCCCGCCACCTTATTCCCAGGAATTTGTATTACGTATTTTTTTTAAATCAGATCTATATAGACAAACAGGCCTTGTTTCAAAACTACCGTCATGTAGATTTAGTTATACAAATTTTTAACGCAACAGCATTCAAAGCTCACTATAGTGTCTGAATATTTACTTGAATTCATAATACTTTGTGGAATGTTGTTCAAAACAAGACATCGACGAAAATAGCGAAAGTAATCATTTATTTAATTTTTAATTTTCAAGTTTAGAGATTTATGCCTACTTGTGAAAATATATAATTAAATTCCACGTGTTCATAATTATCTTTTGCATTTATTGGGTGTTCGTGAAGTCCTAAAAACTTTTTAAATTGCAAAGGGAATTTATCGATACCATATATTGTTTTGGACCTCACGTATGTAATAAAGGAAGTAAAAATACTTAAACAATTACTAATTAAAAAAAAACCAACCTCGTCTAAGATATATTAGAAACTTTTTATATACGTCATATCATGGTAAATATTCCATTGTGCTGACTCAAGTAAATAAAGTATTTAGCACGCGTCAAAACAATTTTTACATTTTATTCTCTGAGGCCTTTTCATATATATATCATCGACAAATTAAGACGAAATGAAATAGCTTGCGGGTAAATGACGCTCAGTTAATACATGAAGTTACATCGCTCTGGTTGTCCTGGGATTAAGTCGATAATAGGTTTATATGCTCCGAGTGCATGCTGGGTAATTAAAGATTTATGGAATAATTTTAAATCATAACTGGTTTACCGGTCGCGGAAGCGGCATTGTTAATGCAGTTTCAAATGCGTTATCGCTTAGGTAATGAAGATTTAACATAAATGTAATTTATTGCTATTTTTTTGCAGATATATCTCATTGGAAAATATGACATTGTTTCAATATAATATTTATTCACTTATATATTTTATATCTTTCACCGTCTCTCAAGGACAAGCTCAGACATCCAAAAATGTTAAAGGTAATTTCTTTCAGGTTATCAGAGAGGCGTTCATTTTTCCAATAAATAGCTTGCTCAGATTGAGGAATATTAAATAAAATTAGTTCACTAGAAAAAAATCAACAACGTTTTGGGATTCTCTACGTCTATTTGCAGCTGGACTTGAAATTTAATAAAGAAATGATTGAAATGTTAGATAGTATCAATTTGACAAATTTGAGAAACTGCTTTAAAGCCACTGACTTTTATGCTGGGTACAGCCAGTGGTGAGTTGTAGCCGGAACGCACCGGAACGGCTTTCCGGTTGTTGGACATTTTATTGCATTTGCGTTCCTGTTGTTGAAATAAAATTATGTCACAGAAAGTCTAGTTTTTCTGCATTGAATTGGTATGAATATTCTTGTAATTTCACACGAACACATTTCAGATACTTTCTTCATATTTCAATGTGGTTCTTCGGCTCTTTCTTAGGACAGGCATACATTTATGTAAGAGTCCGCGTTCGCGTCGTGTTGTAAATATAGGTATTACATTTTCCGAATAAGGTGCGTTCCGGTGGTTACGATTTTTCCAGCTCACCACTGGTAACAGCAGTGATCATATTTCTGTTTGAAGTTACAGCAGTTAACTCATATAACTTATTTACTGTTAGCGTATTTAATTTATGTTTATTTTAAATTATTATTCCACATTTCCAGGTGTTTGGGGACCATGGAAAAATATCACTAGATGCGAGATTCAAGAAATTGGGCCGGGACAAGTTCAAGAAAGAGAATGTTTCGTAGGGAACAGAGTGGTAGATAAACAATTTTGTAATGGACTATATAAATTAGTAGTAGAATGCCAACTTGAACAGCTCGCTATTGTACATGGAATAAAAGCTGAATTTGGAAATTGGCCATGGCAAGTCTTCATCGAAATTGATAATGGAAAAGATCAATGTGGAGGAAGTCTCATAGAGGATATGTGGATTCTGACGGCGGCTCATTGTTTTATGAGGTGAGACACAATCACTTTAAAATAATCAAATTAGGTTTATATTTCACATAGGTATATTTCTTCATTACAACCGACTACTGTAATACCACCATCTCTGCTATAGTACATTACCATATCAGTGCTAAATAGATTGCCAGGTTGCAATTTCATGAAGGATAGTTTTGCATGAACAGGTCGATTTTAGCCCACTGGAAGGGGTACTACAAACTTTTTTCATCATTAATATTATAACATGTATGTTTATTTGTCAGAAAGTTTTTTATTAAAAATGTTGATTAAGTCAAGTGGGGTATGAAAATAGATAACCAGAGTTTAAGTAAGATGCCTTGCGACGGAAAGATTTCTAACATGTACATTTAGTCTCTTTCTTGCAATTGCGAGTATATCATCTATTTATCAACACTGGGCATGGTATACGCCAGTGGTAAAAATTTTCTTTCGAAACCTTTCAAAATGTCCAGCTCCAATTTTTGAATTGCATTACGTGAGCTGAACTGTTTTCTTAAAAAAACTTAATTAATTAAACCTAATTTTCTTAAACAACAAAAATTGAAACTTTGACTATTTCAACAAGTTTTGCGCAATAAAAGCAAATGCTGAATAAAAGATTTTGATGAATCGCGAGAAAATTGCAATTAAAGTTTAATGTTTCCATTCCTCGTTTAGGAGTCGCTTGTCTGCCTTATCATGGATTTCACGCTCCATCCGAAACATCGAACTGACTATATTCTGCCATTCATTAGTAATTCAGTAGTCCGTAATCATTTTCGTTAACTTCCTCCCTCCGTCTATTAGAAATCTTAGTTCTCTCTCACTATGCACGAAAACCACCTTTTTGTTCAGTCTTTAATGGATCCTCAGCTAGTGTTATTCTTAAGTCCTACTGCCGGTCGCACTTGCAATTTTGCACAGTTTAAAATATGTGCGTAACGAAATATTATAGCAATAATAAGGAACTAAACAATATTAGTAATACCACATCCAATACGAAATTCCCCCCTCAGAAACGACACAATTTCCCGTGGCAGTAGTTGGACCGCTATACCGAAATTAGGCGGTGGGGTTTATTATGATTTCGCTTACTTTTCGTTTTTTCCTTCCTAAGGATGAATATAGAACTTTGAATAAAATATATTGTACTGTAATAAAACTGCAAAACGTATTAGTATATTTCCAACTTTATTCGGGTTCATAATAAATTTTACTGCCACCATGGGGACACAATTTAAAAGACTTTCAAAATTCAAAACAAAGTAAGTTGTAAAAATATCATAATATTATATCTTTGACATTTACTTTGGTTTTTCGGTCAAATTTTTCTAGTTTTGTGGGTACTGATTTTTGTGTATTTGAAATTTGCAATGAGAAGAACAATGAACTTATCATAGTTCCACATATTGCATTGTCAATAGCAACTTATTAATATTAATTTTTTCATGCAGTGGTCGGAAGAAAGCAACCAGAGTGACCCTCAGTGCAATAAATAAACATGGAATGGCAGAGAATGCTGTTAATACCATCCCCGAAAGAATCGTTTGTCATGAAGGTATGCTTCCTAATTGTTGGAACTGTATAGTTCAATATTACTCGCACCTTTAAATGGGCTTAAATTCAAAATCTTATTAATCGTCAGTTCGGTAAGAATACCAAGATTATTGGAAATGAATAATCGTCTCGGAGAATTATTTCTTTAAAAAAATTTCGCTGAAATAAATAAAAATAGAAAAGAAGGGAGTCAAATTGAGAAAATTCACAGAAAAAAAAAATGCCAATTTGAAGAAAGTAGACAAAAAACAAGGAAAGCAAACTACGAACACAATTTTTTTTACAACGATGGCAATTTTGAGGAATTATATACAAAATACTGAGTGAGAAATTAACAGGCACTGGAAAAGATTACGGCGAAAATGATTTATAAAAGCAAAATACACTTGTGCCTATATATACCTTTACGTCCACAATACAGAAAATAGAATATAACGCGCATATAACGGTCATCAAAATTTGTAAAAATATATATTCCTTTCTGCATTAACAATGTTAACTTGTTTTGAACTTTTCAGACTTTGACAGCATTATACTAAAAAATGACATTTGTTTGATGAAAATTCCCTGGATAGAATATATGGGGTTTGCCAGGCCTGTGCATTACCATATGATTCCAAACCTACAACAAGGAAGCAATTGTATAGTTACTGGTTGGGGATACGACGAAAGTAAGCTTTTTTTAACGTTTTAGTAATTAATATATACATTCAATATGGTATTTCATCAGCTGCCAATACACACAACGTAGATGATTATATATTAATTGAATTGCTTTTTAACTATATATATATTAAACCTCATATCTATACAATCAAGCTTTCCACATTTCTTTTTTGCACTTTCAGATTCCAATCTACCTGATAATTTACAACAGGCAGAAGTGACAGTAATCGAAAAAAAGCAATGCAGAGAATGGTATAAAAAACTTGGAACAACGATACCTCAGGGCACTATTTGCGCTGGGTTTGTAAATTTGTATACCTCGCCTAACAGTTTCTTCATTTCTTCAAATTCTCCTGTTCTATTTCGTTAATCCTCAGTACTAAAATATGCTTATCTAATATCCCACGAATATAATATTTGATTAATAATTCAATATTGATTTGACTGCATTTTAATTTAAACAACCAAATTGAAGTCAGATGAATATAATCTATCTTAAATACTTTTGGGTAATATCTGAATATACAGACTAGTTCCCAAGCTTCTACATACACTCCTCTTTTTTCCTAAATTACCTTTTTTAAATTTGGTGCCTTTGAAAATTTACCTAGCTCAACGGTTTCATAAATGTCATCAATTTTACAGACATATTGAAGGAGGACCAGATAGTTGCGGGGGTGATAGCGGAGGTCCGCTTGTATGCAAAGTAAATAATGGGCCCCATTTCTTATATGGTGTAACCAGTTTTGGACCTGTGAAATGTGGAGCTAAAAAATCACCAGGAATATATACAAGCGTGTCCGATTTTATACCATGGATTGCGAAAACGATGGAATCATCTTTAGAAGGTATTTTTATGTCACACTAAAACTGATGATAGTTAATTTTTTTTTAAAATCTTTTATTTTGGAGTATTGAGTTAAATACATTTCTGTATTCTAGTAATGAACGTATGTTGTTATTGGGAAAATATCAGAAAAGATGTATTCAAATTACAAATGTGTATTTTGAGAGACAGCTTGCACTAATGTGGCATTTCCTTAGCATTACATAAACCGTACGGAGGCATAAATCATCCAATTATAAACCATAGAACCCATGGCCACTCTTTGCTATCAGGTTACCACTGGGGAGAATGGAACACAACATGTAGTGTTACATGCGGCAAAGGACAAATGGCGATGCAACGGAAATGTCTGAACAAGGAAGGGGATACAGTTAATAATGATAATTGTCCCGGTCAAGCACACAAAGTTGGCGATTGTAATCTCCCGAGATGTATAGGTAGATACCACTTTAAAGTTTTTTCGTAAACACATAATTGCTTCATAAAGCTTCACCCACTCACCTAAAATTCATATTATATATCCGTTTGCCAAGACTCATAAAACATTGAATACTTCACCAACCTTTATATCCAGTCAAATATTCATTAACAGGACGACTTATGCTGTATAAAAGGCTATCAAGCAACATATAATTTTTCATCTCATAAGAAAAACGTAAATCAAAAGAGCCAAAAAACATTTGAAAAAAAACTTTAACTGCCCTGTTATTTGAAGCTTATTCCTGGGAGCCGTGGAAAGGAGAGTGCAGTGTTACTTGTGGAGAGGGCACACTTGAAAGAGCAAGGAAATGTCTGAATGAAGACAGTAAACCAGTAAATTCTAAACACTGTGGAGGAGGACCCACGGAGCAAAAAGCAAAATGTTTCAATGTCCGACCTTGCCAGGGTAAATAATAGGACGAATATAACGTAGAAGGTCGATATAAAATAACACAATTTTCCCCTTTCCCCTTCACATAAAGAGCTAGGGACACCAATATCAGCCCTATTCATAATATTCTTTCACTAACCAATCTTATTGATGTGATTTTTGTGTAACCCAGATCTCCCTCCATCAAAAGGTTGTATAGTTATAGTATATGTGCGTCGAGCAAAGTTGGTAGAAAAAATAAAAAAAACTCTATAAAAATCACGATAATAGACTCGAATTTTGTTGATAATATCTCTAAATTTGGTAAATTTCTGTGGAACTTTCTTTGAATCAATCATCTCTCTCCATTAAAATCATGACTATATTTTCGAATTTTTTAAATAATATTCGCACATTTGCTAAATTTTTGGAAAGCTTTTATTGAATCAATCATTCTAGCAAGCAAACTAACCGACAGATTTTCCAGCATGTATTCGTAACATTTTCATTCTCATTTGCACAGAATCTGTATATCAATGGAGCTCGTGGGTGTCATCGCCATGTAGCGTGACGTGTGGGGTAGGAAGAGTGATAAAAAAGAGACATTGTACTTCTAATAACGAAATATCTGATGCTGCACATTGCAAAGGGAATTCCGTCGAAATATTGTTTTGCACGGGGCCCACTTGTGAAGGTTTTACGACAAAATGTTTAACTTACTATTACCGTTGTACTACCGTCGTGAAAGATTATTGGTATTCTATAAGTTCACCTACAACATAATTCCTGGTTGGCTTAACTTCATGAATTCAAAGAAAATAAGCATGAAATTACACCTGATGTATTTTTGGTCTCTGAAGTTTGACGAATTCACAGCGCATACCAAACAAAGTCTTTCCGGCTTAAATTCATATTTTGATAGTTTATTCTAGAGCTCATAAAACGTACGATTGTAGAGTTAATTAGGTATAGTGCAACCAAAATGGATCTTTGTATATACAGGGTTGACCGAAAGTAGGATAACAATTATAATTATTAATAACTGTTACCCTTCCTTTAAACCACCCGTATATTTCAACACAGTTGTTAAAACTTAACAACAGTATATATTTATTTTGCTCTCTATAGAGATATCCACTTGGGGACCGTGGATTTCATCTTCATGTAGCGTTACATGTGGAGATGGAACGACAAAAAGAACAAGACATTGCCTTACCAAAACTACTGCAGCCAAAGGTAGTAACTGTCCGGGCAAGGCAGAAGATATTAGACCCTGCTCAGAACTCCCGTGCAAGGGTAAGTTAAGGTCAGTGATATGTAATTTTTGATTTTCAGGATCAATCACTATGAGTCTATTTGATAAGCAAATATATATATCGGAATTGTTCCTATTCATTTGAAAAAATGAAGGACAAAAATTGAAGACGCATGCGAGCATCTGACGGCCATGACAATATCACCCACATCCACGCTAATATGACCGATTCTCTCTATTCAACAATTGTCTATGTTGTCGTAATGCAGCCTAAGTACATGTTGGCAATGTTATTTTATACCATCAGTTCAATCGATTTTTTTTCAGAAGTTTATTCTTGGGGACCTTGGTTATCTTTTTCGTGTAGTGTTACTTGTGGAAATGGTAAAATTACAAAGATGAGACGGTGTATGTCTAATATTTCGAGAAAAAGAGGAGATTCCTGTTCCGGAAATTCACAAGTTACGGAAGCATGCGTTGAACCTCCGTGCAAAAGTACGTGATTAATTTAATTTAAAAAACTTATCCAAACTTTTATGTGCGATTGTATTACATAAGCTTTCCTATTACGCGCAATAATCTACTAATATATAGATTTGCCCATGAGCATCGAAGATGTCCAATAACGCAAGCTGTATTTTTTTCTATAACTAAACGGTTTGTAAATTTCAACCTCTCATACCGGTCATTGAAAGAGCCTATATACAAAAGATTATCATATTTTCTCATGAACAGACGTATTTTCGTGGGGGCCGTGGTTACCACCTTCGGCCTGCAGTGTTACTTGTGGTAAAGGTGAAAAGATCCGAAAGAGGCACTGCCTTTCAGCTGAAACAATGAGAAGGGGAGACTTTTGTGCTGGCGAAGCTGAAGAAGTTGCGTCTTGCAGCATGCCAGTTTGCAAAGGTAAAAGCGATAACTTCATTACAAATTAACACAATAATTCTGCTTGTTCATGAGTCATATTCATATTTTATATTGAATTATATTGAAGTAATCAACTATACAATTCAATTATTTAACTACCAATTAACATATTTAAAAAACCTTCTTGGCAGTACTGCACAATGCAAAAATAAAAATGAAATGATGAGTTTTTAGTCATATTCTCAAGTCAAAGTTTGTTGTATAAAGCGCTAAATCACGGTAGCCAGACGTATGTATGTACTCGTATTCTAAAAATTCATTATCGATAATATTTGAATTACGGTATCAGAATTTCACTGGAGTCAATGGAAAAGCACCTGTAGTGTAACTTGTGGAATAGGAACGGAAGAAGGCAGTAGAATCTGTTTGGATGATAACAACAGATCTGTGAAGGTCAATCTATGCATAGGAAGATCTCGTATCATAGGAACGTGTACTCGTGACAAATGTCGTGAAGGTACCAACATGAAACTTAATATATATATATATCTATTTGCTGCATTGAGGTTACATACTATTTTTTGCTGCATTTGGGCCACTCGTTTTCTGTGGCATATAGTGAGCTACTCACAGCGTTAATTTTGGTTGTTTTCAGTGGGAAATGTTTTGACAAAATTTCACGCAAGTAATACAGTTTGTTTAAAATATAGTCGAGTTGGTGCACAATCGTCGTCGCCCAATTCCGAGGGACTGCTTTTTTTAGCCTATTTGCGGAAATGAAGAACATTATTGGATATGGTCGACACCGCATGGAATAGATAAAATCATTGGCTATTTAATCATTGTCCTCCATTAAACGTTCACAGCTACGGCTAAATGCTTTGCTTGCAAGGTAAATTAAACACCAGTTACAATCGTACCATGAAATAGCCAAAAACAGTGGTTTTGGATGTTTTAAGGTGTGCCTGAGGCTTGTCGCCTTGTCCTATTTACAGCGTGATATGTTGTTATTTTGGCGTCACGGTTGATCGCTCGCTGAACGATATTGTTGCGTTTTGCCCACTCGTTCTGACTGCCTGTATCTTCAATTCTCCATGCCCTCACACGAAAGTATAAAGAGTAATTGTGTATATACTGTATACTGTATATATATATATATATATTGTGTATCTACGTAGGCCAAAGTGTAACCTGAAAATAGATTCAATGGCGATATTTGAAAGTTGTTCATAGTGGATTCTAGATAGCAGATGACAAAACTTCCATAATTTCATAAATTGGATTGTCTGAGATGTGACATATTGCTGAAATTTACGAAATCACGAGTTAAAATTCGAACACATATAAATCAGCGAATTTTAGGTCGATTTTGAAAAATATTTCACTAGTCTATGCGGAAGTTTTGTATTTATCTTTTCAGGGAGTGGTTTAAATTAATTATTTGTCATTTGACCCCAAAATTGAAAATTGTATTGTAGTTGTATTGAAAATTTTAATATATTTGGATAGATTTCAATAAAACAAAACTAAAAATAGTTTCATAATTAAAATTCATTTAATAGTTTTCGAGAAAATTGGGTTCAAAATTTTTTTTTTATGGTTTTTTGGTTATAACTTTTGATATAATTAATAAAAAACAAAAATGTTAATACCGTTCAGTTGGTATTTTAGAGACGCATTCGGCGATATATTGTTCAATGATATTGGATGGCTAGAAAAATAATTCTAAATTTTGAAATTTCCAAATAAATGCAGTTCGGAAACATATGATAGCATATCTTCGTTACTAGGGTTTCATCGATTATTTTAATTTTTCGCCTTCGATGTCGTTTTTTTTGTTGTATTCAAATATATTTGAATATAATAAGTGCATTGCACGTGCTTTTCATCAACTTTAGGCAAAAATATCGAAAATATCGCTCCTTTATGGCGATGTTGTCAAAAACGCAATTTTCGCCGTAATTGTTAAGTTTTCTGGCGATAATATGTTGTATTAACAATCAAAAGCATTTATATGAGCAAGTTTTAACTGTACCTAGTATTATGGTACTTCACATCATTATATTAAACCATCACCTGAATAATTAACCATTTTTTAAATAAATATAGTCACCATTTCGGAAACGAGAAGAAGAATCGGCAATGTATGAAAACTCAAATTCCCGCAGAATTAAATCCAATTGCCCGGTCTAGTAAAGCAAAGAACGTTTCCAATTTAATTCAATGTTTTGTGTTGTGATGACCGTGCTTAATCATATAATTAAAACTGGAGAACAAAGGGAATGAAAGTGGAAAACGAAATAACCCGGCATCGGCATGAGCGACCTAGACTTCCGATATAGAGAGTTTTTCTAATTCCTACATTTCCGCTAATCTAAGTAACAATTTGTATCCCATTTGTTAATTAGGAATACTGTCGCTAAAAGGGTCACAGATGTTTCAAATATGCCACTGTTCGTTAAAATGGATTTTAGGGCTAATTAGCTCTTTGTAATCTGAATTTCAACTGCGCAGTGTTCGATTTCCGATTTTCAGATAATGTATTTTTCCGAGTGAGATGCGTCCAAAATAGCCAACAATGTACAAGAGGTTACCATAACTCATTTGCTTATTTGATAGTCGGAAATTAGTGACCCAGTTAATGTAATTAGTATTATGTATTTCCGACAATGTGAAAAATTATAGTGACGTCATACGTTTTTTTTGAGTGAAATTAATTTTGGCGTCATAGCAGAGATGTTCATGAGATATGATGTCATAAATAAATATATAAAAAATTTCGCAAAATACGAAAATTGCCGTTGTACGGAAGATCCGTATGTTATTCACGCAAGTATACTGGATAATAAGTTGAATATAAAAAAAAACTAATAAACCGCGTCACCAGTAAACTTGAAGTCATAGTAGCTATTTCTATTTGTGCCAAGGGTGCAGGGACTTACCCAAAGCTTACCCTCTTTGTAATTTTATGAAATCGCTCATCTGGGACTTCAAAGAGAGGGGCGTAGGAGTAATATTAAAACGTATCTGCGCATTTCTTGATATGTTCAATAAAGGTGATATGGCAATATTGTTAGCAACGCAATGCAGATCGTTGCTTTATATAGAAGTAAAATCGCCCAGCTTTACACGACCAATCCAGCTTTTCAACTGTTATAACGTCTCATGACCACCCCCCACCCCAAGATCAGTCTTTCAAAATCTGTAACAGCAAAATGACCTACGCTGACCATGCAGTTTATAGTGACTGTTTTGTACCATTGACCGACAAACAATTCAACTCAGCGTTGTATTTTAACATCTCCGGCTAAAATAAGCACGGTGGTATACACCTGGTCACACATGATTTATTTCCAAAAAATTGTGTTCGAACAAAGTACATTTGCATGCGAAAAGTACATAGTAATCAAGAATATATATTACAATAACCGCTATATATCATGCATAAAACTTTTCTAATATTCCGTTGTCATCCATTCAATATCCAGAAACGTTATGGAGGTATTTGGAAGAATTTTTATAAAATAACCTATTTTTTTGCCAAAATAGGCATTTCAAAATCCGGTCAGTCCTATTTTAAGACATGAGAAACCCAATACACAGATTACAAAATTCGATTGATGCGTGCGTCTCCTGCCGAAATTTTAATGAACTTATATTTATATTCATGGATTGTAATAGATAACCTTTTCTAGTGCACAATAGTTCTGGCTTATAAACAAATTTCTAGAGATGCAACCAATTTGTCTTTTTCCCCATATTTACTGTGTCTACCTTTTTCCAGATTGACCTTACGCTTTTCTGACAATATTCACTTGTCTTATCCTCATTGAACCTTTTGTTCTTCAAATAACAGTTTTCCTTCCACATGTTTTTAAATGACTCAAAATTATCTTATATATATATACTATAAACTTTCTATTTTAATGTTCTCGAGTTTGCTTGGAAAGTTTTCCTTTTCCTGATCTTTGACAGACTTCCGTACACGTTCAATGATCTTCTGTCAGCTTCGTTTTTTCCCAAATCTGTGACTAGGAAAACAAAACATAAATTTATTTTACAAAATAATATAAAGTTTACCTTTTTTAAAAAAATATTGGACTAGACTACATTTACTGCGAAATCCTATTCTGTCGCACTGGATAGGACTATCACGTCTGTTCCATATATTTTCATGTCTTCCATAATTAGGTAGCGAGATACTTTGCAGACTCAAAGTGATAACATCATCTCAAACTATTTCTTTGCATACAATATCTCAGAGCCTTTGTTTTACATAATAACATGCAGTGTCGCAAGTCCCGTATAATTTTCCGGTGAATTATTGGAATACCATACGATAGCGAAAAATTTTTCTTGTTAATCCTCCAATTCTGGCCAGAAGATAACCGGGTTAGAAAAGAGAAAATCATGATTTATTTTTGTAGCCACAATTTAGCAAAAATAGCAAAACGGGATATAGCTAGGCCTAGAAACTGTCGGCAAAAACCAGAGTTTTTTTGCTTGAATTTCAAATCCAACATTATGTGGTGATAGTTGAGGGTAATGTTGAAAATGACGAAAAGTTTCAGACTTTTTGCTTGAGGGATTTATGTAGAAAATAAAGCCAAAAACTATTTGGGCGACAACAAAATGTGGCCCAAAAATTCCCGTCGCCCAAATACAGCGAAAATAACTCCGTGTTGTCGACCAAATCGATAAAATAGAAATATATATATATATATATATATATATATATATATATATCAATATAGATTATTTTTATCATTTGTATAGTCGAATATTCGTGGTGTAAATGACCAGTCTTCGGCATCATTTTTAACAAAGCTTACAAGTTGCAACAATAGCTTTCAGCTCGGCCTAAACTAGATGAGAAGCCTTGGAATGACAGTGTGCTTTTAATGTTGCAAAGTTATCTCGAGGTAAAGCACAAAGCAAGAAAACTAAGACTGAAAGTCCTTTACTGGTCCTCTTCCGTGGAGTTTGCGTTCTCAAAAGCTTCAAATAAATGAATATAACAGTTTAGAATATAACCGTTTTAGAACATAAACCACTTTTCGGGAGTTTTAGTGATTAATCGTACCGTTACCACTAACGATTGTAGTGCACAAATGGGTTATTGTGTCTCATGCATGATCACCAAACTTTTTTTTTAGCAAATCATGCTTTATGCTGATGCTCTGAGACTGTCTAGGACTCTATGCCTACTGGTATCGATGCGCGATCCTTGCGGTCTTACCGGTACCAATATTACTGTCGTGGTTGGCGGTTAGGCATTGAACCTGTTGTTTCATTGGTTTTTGCATCTAATCGATGAAGCAATTTTCTAAATCTAATAATTGTCAATCTTTAATTAATAGGCAAAAAAGGTCTAAATTCTCCTAAATTTAAATATAGTGGACGTTCACATAATATGGATAGTTAAAAAATCAGAACCGCTATATTTTGCATAAAAAATTACTATGCCTTTATTTTTACATTGAATTCATTCGCAGAGTATCACTGGAGTCAATGGAGAAAAGTTTGCAGTGTGACTTGTGGATCTGGTACTGAAGAAAGCACAAGAATTTGCTTGAATAAAGACAACAAATCAGTACGTGACAATTTGTGTGATGGAACATCCCGACTATCTGGAACCTGTTCACGATCTCCATGTCCTCCAGGTAAAAATCGTATATATATCTTATAAAATGAAGAAAAAAGTTGAAAATATTGCTCCATATATCAAACACTTTTGTAAACTCATCATGTTGGCCTTGCGAGGAAATGGTATTTGCGGCATTTCGTTCTTAAAATAATCTAGAAAGTAAGCTTGGAAAAAGGTTATAACAAAAGAGAGATGCTCAAAGAACATCGCACAAGAGCTTTAAAGCACAATGTTAAAAATTGTCAAAAGAGACAATTCGGTTGTGAAATATAATTGCGAGCGCTGTGTAATTTGTCTAAAAAATATTTGTGATATATTGTTCCTGGAGCTTGAATAAAAAATATCGTCACAATATTTCCAGTGGGTATAAATCAATCATCTCATTAATTACCATATCTGTTTATTTTTGAGCAGGGAGCTAATTACACTTCGGAGTTCAATGAAAATAAAAATCCCCCCGAAATTATTGGATTTCCGCTCAAGGAGACCCTTATTCTGAGTCATTATGTCTGTCTGGTTGTTGCGTCTAAACGGCTGAGACAATCTAGATAAAATTTCTCATTAGGGGTATCCTGTCATCTCAGTATAGTGCATATCACGAAAAGTCCGATTGATGTTTCGTTTCCATGGCAGCAGCGAAAAAACGCGCCGATCGTTGAGAAATTCTCAATTTTCTCACAATTTGTCGTCATTATCTCGCCAACTAAGTCAAAATTAAAATTCCGAGAACTTTACTCTTTTTGGAATAAAATACTCATTCGAACATTCCGTCATTTCATTTCGATAATCCATGATCTGGATATGGTTCACAAATTTTAGTGAACTTGTTTCAATTATTGGCCACGGTATACCACTCACGCAGGGATGCCGACGAGACGGGCTGCACCAAAATGGACGGTGATCCGCTTACTACACTACGCTGTCGTTGTAGATCTGCAGTTTTGCTTGGATGATAACGGTTTACTGAAGAAGTCATAGTCTAGTTTATTTTCTCCCATTCAGTTGTTTGTGTCGCACATCGAAATTTGTTGAAAGCAAGGTCACAAGCACTCACTCAGAAATAAGAGTGATTTATCACCAAGCGAAGCAACCACTGAAGTGCCGAAAGCTACTGAGACTATAACGAACTAGATCCTCGCATTTGCCTAAGCTGAGGCGTTCCTAAGTAGCCTATCAGCGAAGATACTGGTCTCATACAGGCTTGGGTATTGAATGAATAACGGAGAAGCAAAATATAATTGCTTGCAATTAGACGCATGAATCGGAAATTTTCTATGTCTGGTCACGTTGCTGACATTATCGACAAGGCCCAATATCGCAGTATTACCTGATATCTCCAACATGTTTAAGTAAGTTATAAGCGTTCACTCAAATACGGGGCATTTTTAGAATACCACTGGAGTCAATGGAAAAATGTTTGCAGCGTTACTTGTGGATCCGGAACTGAAGAAAGTACAAGAAGTTGTTTAAACAAGGAGAACAGGCCTGTACCTGACAGTCAGTGTAACGGGAAATCCCGTAATTTTGGAACCTGCGATCGTGCTGCATGTCGTGAAAGTAAGAGATTCAATTCAGGTTTAGAGAAACAAAGTATAAAGACAAAATGAAATGAAAAAAAATATTAATTTTTGTCAAATATGACTGTTTAACTCTGTCTATTTATTGTGAGTTCAATAAGACAACTAACTACAAGCATCTTTACATCAAAAATCCATATTTATATAATATTGGCATAAGCTTATAAGTTAAAGTACCAAATTATATTTTTGTATTTGGAAAGCTGACTATATGTTATGGCAATTCTTTTGGTGATACCAGTAATGTCAAAAGAATAAGGACATCGTAATAACAGCTTATGAAGAATTAATGACCAAACTGAAAAATATTTTAAGAATACCACTGGACAGCGTGGAGAAAAACTTGTAGCGTTTCCTGTGGAAAAGGAAGTGAAAAAAATACAAGAACTTGTTTGAATGAAAATAACCGACTTGTCAGTTCAAGTTTTTGCAATGGAAGATCCCAGTTCTCAAGTACTTGTGATCTTACTCCATGCCGAGCAGGTATACAAGAAAAGCTAATTTTTCTAAAAAAGAAACAGAAACAAGAGGGACGAAGACAGTCTCAAGGATTTTAACTATTTATGTTAGGTCGATAAGTTTGTATGATTTTTACATGAAACAAATCTTTAGGCAAAAAAATATTTGGGCGTCATGTTTTACAAATGACGTTTTGACTTTCTAAATATAGATTCAAACTGGTCCGCTGATTGCCGACGCCTGGTTCAAAATAATCTAACCCGTAAACTTGTCAACGAAGTGTGTATTACGCGATAGAAACTCGGCCTGGGATAGCAACGCAGTCCTAACATTTCTATATCGAAAGATTTTCTGCAAAAGCGAAAAAAAAGTGCAAATTACAGAATCTGGGGCGTCTCAAAAATGTTGTGTGACACTTGTCCCTTGTCCCACTGGGACACGTGGGACAAGTCAACAGGTGAGATAAGTGGGGCACGTGGGATAAATGGGACAGGTGGGACACGTGTGACAAGTGGGACACGTGAGACGAGTGGGACACGTGGCACACAACATTTTCAAGACATCGGTTTGAAACCATTATCTATATATTGCGTTGTCGTCAGTTTCAGGTTATCATTGGAGCGAGTGGAAAGTAACTTGCAGCGTCACTTGTGGACGTGGCGCTGAATACAAATCAAGAGATTGTCTAGACGGCAAAAACATTCCAGTCAATTTGAATCTTTGTAAAGGAAGATCGCACGAAGAAAGAGAATGTGTTCGTGCTGCCTGTCCAACAAGTAGGAATTTTTTGTAATAAACATAACATATGTTTTGTAATAAACATAACATATAGCAAAGAGACTTTCTTAGTGGAAAACTTAACATAATTTGAAATAATTTTGTCTTTTTGCATATTTGTACTACAATTATTACTCCAATATTTGCTTTTTTGATGATAATTGTTCCATTTAGAATATATTAAAATGTGTTTTATATAATTTTAGTTTTTAATTGGGGTGAATGGATTGGAATATGTTCGGTAACTTGTAATACTGGGATCGAAATACGAAGAAGAGAATGTTTTGATAAAAACATAAACACAGTCGATCAAGAAAAGTGCGTTGGCAGTGCATTCAGTACGGCGACTTGTAGTCTCGGACCTTGCTCAGGTATTACAAAACAAATGCAAATTAATGATAACAAGGAAACACTTTATTGAATTTTATTAATGACGCAAACATTCTTCTTCTATTAAAGAGTCATTACATTGATTAATAATAATAAAGCTTGCCTTTTTTAACAAGCTAAACACACATTAAATTAACGATGTTAGAATTCGTAACATATTTTACTATTGTGCTGTTCCACATAGATTTTCACTGGGGAACTTGGGAAAGGTCATGCAGCGTGACGTGTGGATCAGGTATAGAGCACATTAGAAGATCATGTTTAGATACAAACGAAAATCAAGTTAACGAGAACAAATGCCAAGGGCACGCCAGTCAACGTGGCGAATGTCGAATGGGTCCATGTGAAGGTAAATTTGTTGCTCTTTCTATTGATTTATTATTCTTTCGTGACACAAACTGAAATCAGTATGTGTTAAAGGTTAATGCGTAGTGTGCGAAAACTTACATAACCAATGTATAGTGACCTCGTTTTGAAAAAAAAAACAATATATACTAAAATTCGCAATACTATTTATAACACCAATGCATTTAATTATGTAAAGAAAACAAGTGAAAAGTTATAACTTGAACTTAATTTCAGAAAGTCGTGGTTACCATTGGGGCGCTTGGAAAAATCATTGCAGCGTTACATGTGGAAAAGGCGTCGAACATAACATAAGAGACTGCCTAGATGGGAGCAAGAGACCTGTCACCACCTCATTGTGCAATGGAAATTCACATTTTTCTGACACTTGCATTCGCCCATCATGTAAAACAGGTTAAGATGCCGGATTTTTGAAAATAATTTTTTTTAGGTACATGCTTAACAAATTAATTTATTATTAACCGATGTATGCAACAATGCAAATTTGTAATAATGTTTTAACAATTCATTGTATTGTTTTTGATGACTTCTTAGTCTCTGTCCACAAGTGGGGACCGTGGCAGACAAAATGCAGCGTCACGTGTGGAGCCGGTGACGAAGTCAAAATAAGAGTTTGTATGGATGGAAATGGCAAAACTGTTAGCAATGACAAATGTCCACGCGGACCTGCCATTCAACAGGGATCGTGTTTTCGTTCATCATGTAAACGTAAGTTATCGTTTGAGGTGCAGAGAGTGTCAATAAAATAGAATTGGTAAGCATGGAAGGCAGTGCATAAAATGTCAATAAAACACAATAGGAATCCGTGTAAAAAATGTAAACAAATATCATCGTTCCGAATCACTGTGCATGCAACATGTGGATAATGTTTTAACTATTTATTGTATTGTTTTTGATGTCTTCTTAGTCTCTGTCCACAAGTGGGGACCGTGGCAGACAAAATGCAGCGTCACGTGTGGAGCCGGGGACGAAGTCAAAATAAGAGTTTGTATGGATGGAAATGGCAAAACTGTTAGCAATGACAAATGTCCACGCGGACCTGCCATTCAACAGGGAGCGTGTTTTCGTTCATCATGTAAACGTAAGTTATCGTTTGAGGTGCAGAGGGTGTCAATAAAATAGAATTAGTAAGCATGGAAGGCAGTGCATAAAATGTCAATGAAACACAATAGGAATCCGTGTAAAAAATGTAAACATATATCATCGTTCCGAATCATTGTGCATGCTACATGTGCTAATTAGAGGAAATTTCACGAAGTATAAATTTTTATGAATGATATTTAACCAAATTTATACTGGACAATTTTTAGAGACCGAGATGGTATATATGAGATAACTAGATTTATACATATGTATTTACAAAATTTCACATTAACGTTAGCCCTATAAAACGTAAAAGGGGTTTAATATTTGCACTACAGGACAATTTTGGGGTCCTTGGTCAACATTTTCAGATTGTTCAGCGTCATGTGGTGGAGGTTTAAGAACAAGAACACGTAGATGTACTGGCGGACCTGGTTCCTGTGGAGCAGGCGAATCTACCATATCCGTACAGTGCAACACGGACGCTTGCAGACGAGGTATTTCATATTAATTCAGCAGTATGAGTGTTTTCCGACCCCTGGCCTCACAAAAAAGAGTAGGAATTATATTTACGGATCTATATACATCATTGATTTCAATTTCCCAAATACTAGTGATAATCAAATTGGTATAGAGCTAATAGATACACAAAATTTCTATGTAATCGATTCTACATACTCTTCTACTTTTTTCTCAGGCGGTGTTGACTTGTATGAATGGGGAGAATGGAAATCATGGTCAAGATGCAGACTGAAGAGCTCAAGCCGAAATCGATGTAGCGGTTTTCAGTCAAGTACACGAGCATGTTACAATCGAGACAAGGTATACACAATTATGTATTCTAGAAAATGGTTGGTATATCTGAGAGATATTCCGGATATTGTCAATAGTGTACTTTTTGGTAATCATTGTGTTCTATGATTCAAGCTAATTTGAACACAGACTTATTGAATATGCTATATGTAACGCAAAGGTAACAAGAAAAAACAAACACACCATATAATTACCTAACTTGTAACAAGGTTTATTGAATAAATATGTGTTTTGCAGGACGTCCCCCCACATCTGTGCGGAGGTTCATCTGAAAATTATAAAGAAAGAATTTGCCAACTTCCAGATTGTTGACGATAAAACAAATATTCAGATACCAGCTTTTGTTCGTCAATTTACATATGTACTATTTGCTTATTGAGAATTATAATTAAAAGACCTTGCCGTGGCAACACATTTTACATTTGGCCATTCGGAGGCTATGTCAGTTTCTTTACTTGCCTACATAGAACAAAAAAAATAGTGAGATGAAGTACCATTTTGTGAATTTAAATTGATAAAATATAAAAATGTATATAAGATTTATTTGTGAGTATAAAATATATCAAATAAAATGCCCATATATTTCGCTCGTATACTGCGACAGTTCTGTAACAAAAGACAGTCGAAATTCGGACACTAAAGTTCGACACAGTACTACAGTTTAGTTTTACTCATCCAATACCTTCAGGATTTTTGAAAATACGTCCGACACAGAATCTTTTATTGTTTAATCTCCTCTGCGAATACACACACCAAGATTATAAATTTAATTGAACGTAATTCAAGGTCTATTAATTTGCGAGCACATTTCCGGAATTTAAAGATAACCAAGTTTGTATTTCGACAATTAGGCCAATATAATCACACATAATATCTTCATACTTAACCTAAGCGGCGTTAATTCGGAATTTTTTCGGGACTAATTTTCCGTGATTATAATGACTCAAATGCGAGTGATACTCTAATGTTTTTTTTGTATGAAGCTAAACGATACACAATGTTTGTGTCAGATGCAACCGATTCTACACACTCTTCTACTTTTTTATATTTCTTAGACGGTGTTGACTTGTATGAATGGGGCGATAGAAATCATGGTAAATGGATGACATATATTGAATAACATATTGTTAATCTTATTTTAAATATTCAAGTCATAAGCCATGGGTCAAGTAAACAAGCAAAATATACGTCAATTATTCCAGTGCCGACAAATTATTAGACGTTTAGAATATTGCAGTCTCTATTTCTACTTAACCAGTTTGGATAGTGCTGTCTGGCTTGCAAGAAATATTCAGAATCGTTTAACTTTGGACATTGTTATCGAAATATCGTTGGGATATTTTCAACATACATAATATATTATTACATATACAATATATATTAAATTAATATAATTGAGGATATTTAACATTGTGGAAATACAACTCAATTTACAGGGAGCGTATTTTGATCTGGGGTTTACAGTATAGGTAAGATAATCGTTGTCGGGTCTCCAAATCCCTAATGGCGACATGATATTGAATGCAATTATTATTTTGGAATATTGTGAAGCTAACCAGAGAAATGTTATATTGAATTGAAAAATTAGGCAAGTAATTGGGCAAAACATAGTCGCTCATTCTTCTGCTTACCAATACCGACCTCTGATCTAATTCACTGGCAATATCTAATAGTCTAAGCCGCAGGGTTGTCCAACCTTTATGGCCGAAGGGTCACAACGGGTTAAACAGGTTACAAAATACAGGTTAAAAAACAAACAAAACCCTCACACCAATATATATATATTATATGAACAATGAAAAAAAGAATATACAGTGAAATCGAAAGGTTTTAACACACATAAGTATTTCAATGTGAAGTTTGGCACTGCTTTTATCCAACAAGTTTGTAAATATTCGATGCGATGGACGATGTAATGCGAATTTTTTGACATTAATTGGACATGGTTCATCCGTAAAAAAACTTGCTCGTACAAGTAAGTGCTGTCAAATATTGAGGTTATAAAAACTGCCTCTTCACAGACAAAAGGCAGGAAAACAGATTGAACTACCTGGTGAACAATAAAAATATTTAATAATAATTCAAAAATTTCTCTTTTGCAATAACGCTCGCAAAGAGACTCAAAAAAGCGTTTGAAAGCTAGATGGTACTTCTCGCGCGTTTGAACGACGAAGAATAATTTTTTCATTAGAGGTTTTCAGTAGTGGCTCAGATTTGTGGAAGACATCGGGATTCGCATAATACTGCGCGGGCCACTTGGAAACCTTCGGCGGTCAACATGTGTCCCGCGGGCCACGGGTTGGACGACCCTGGTCTAAGGTCTAATAGTACATTCAATAAAACGCATGAGATATTTTTTATATGATACATGTATTTGAAAACTATATGAAAGCAATATTGTGCAATAATATTGATTTATAGATATGATAATCTACTCCATTAGCTTTGCGTTTATTCGTTGCTTAAATCATTAGATCAATTGTTTTTCGCTAGTCACCACTCAGCTGAATATTGTTGCTGGACCTCCGCATTGATTGCTCTGGCATGCGAAACAATGAATCATACGAGCTTTTGCTAAAACAAAAAAATAAATGATAGTAAATATGTGATTCATCAATCGGCTATATTAATTTTATATACTGGCGAGTGTTATATTGATTAATTCGAAAATAAATTCATGGATTGCTATTTTTTATATTTGTCAGGCATATCGTAAAAGCATGCTTTAACTTATTCGGCATTTCTATCCATGATAGCCTAATTCAATTAGTATTACCCAAGTGATAATGCAACGCATATCGTTGTATATTCCTAGGCTTTCCACGAAATCCGCCAAAAATAAAAGATTTCTAGCGATGATATAAATGATAAAATAATATAATGACATAGTAATATGGAAATACAAAAAGCAACATAAAAGTCTCAAGTCACAATTGATTGCATTCTGCACTATCCATCGCAGATAATGATACTTGATTAAGAATGAACTTGGAAACTGTGCTTTCTGTTATTGCATGTAGGCAATCATATCCTAGGTCCGTGTCATATTTTGTAGTGAATACACGAATTTTATGTTTACAATTGTGACATGTAAATTTGAAGTGTGGACTTTTCTGAAGACTATCATGTTTTCTGATTTTTGAAAAGCCGATTCCAACATTTATATTCGGTTATTTTGACCCCCGTGCTAGTTATTTGAGTATTGCTGTATTTTTGTGATAATTAAAAAATGGTTTGTAAAATTAATTATGGTACTAACTTGCGGCTTTGCTGAGATTATATTTTTTCTGCAACTTCAACGCCAGTAATCTGCAGTTGTATTTAAACCCCATCTTCGCTTTGTTGTAAGTGCAAAGGTAATTCGGGCAATTGTACATATTCCCAGTTGCCCGAGATAGCTAAAAAGTAATAATTAAACGTGAATAATTCTGAATGTACAAATGTAAACAACAATTTAAATATTTGGAGTTATGACTATATGATCTGGCGCAGAATTTCGTGAATAGATACATTTTAAAAAACACCCTGAACGATGTAACGTTTTTAGAAACAAACTTCATTTCCTGACTTGACCAATTAAGTACAGAAACTGAAATATATAATTAAAATTGGCATACAATATTATTGCCTTGTTACAAATATTTATAGCGTCTTACTTACCGGTATGTCAGTAATTACTGCAAAAACATTCACAGTTTCTCCCAATTCTTCGAACAGTGCTGAAATATTTTCATAAGACTTATGATTGTCCATTGTATTGGGCATGTACTGGTCGATATATCCAACTAGAATCTCTGGTGGTAAAGGGCAAGTCGGCTTTGAATGAAAAAGTTTGCAATAACGTTAGTTGTAACAACGAAAATTTGAAAAATTAGTCCTGCCCAGGCTTGTAATTTATAATTTATTTTACATTCCTTGGCATAACAATCTATTCAAACATAAGCTTGATTTCTGCCAAAAAATGTTGCAGAAAGGTTGAAGTAAAATGAACATATTAAACGTACGCTAATTATATATCTGGATATATAGTACAATTCAATGGATATGTATAATATGTCAATACGACACGGTTGAGTTTCTCAAAGCATAACATCCAACAACTCCGTTGAGTAACGTTCAAAAAATATTTGGAGCAATGCTTCAAGTGCTCATAGCTTTCCAAAAACTAGTTTACCTACAGTTTGGTGCCATTGGTTGAAGCAATTATATGTTAACAAATGATTTCAGAATATTTAAGTCCATGTATCCAGTGAAGCAATTTTATTTATATGTATTCATTTGAAATAACATATCTCCGATATATTATTGAACACGTAGTGGACATAGCGATCGTTTTGGTGTTATGTTGTTCTTCGTCTTGTTCTTGTTCTTTGACACGTTTTGAAAAAAAATCGCTTTTCTCCTTGATTACTGGACTAATTGCTTTTAAATTTTCAGTGGTTAAAGATAGAATTTTTCTCCAGAAGGCTATTACTTTTTTTCGCTATGACGTCATCAAAATTATGTGGCTCTACGTGTCCATGTATTTGAGCATAGCTCTCTTGTTTAAAATGTTATCCATTTGTATAAACCAAACACTTACATCTGTAATATTGCTGATGCAAATGTCAATGATTTCTGAACGGGGTATACATAAAGGGACATTAGTATATTCCCCGTTTCTACAGTCAGTTGTCATGTTTCCGCGAAGCTCGAATTCGAGGTCACATATGACGTCGCATTTTGAATAAAGTGGTTTGTTACCAACTCTCGTACAGTTGCTAACACCATTTGGCACATCGAGTTGATTACAGAAGATAATGCCTACAAATAAATGAGAATTGTAATCAGTGTACATATTTTATGTTATTTTATGTGAGTTTGTAAATAATCCTTAATTTTCAAAGGCTGAATGTGTTATGGATTATTTTTATTATACGCATCAGGAAACGTTCTGAAACACATTTTGAGGGAAATCATAATACTCTACCTACTGTTAAATATTTACGCATGGAATAAACTACTTTTATGACATCACTGTAATGTTAAAAATTTCAGCGGAGTCATTTCGTTTAGATCACGATCGGCAACCTACGGCCCGCGGAGTAATATAATCCGGCCCGCGACGCTTCGCTGAATTGTGGTAAAAAACAGCTGTTTTGACAAATATATTCTTTACGTAACAGAAGTTATTGTGAGACACGTTTAGACTAAATTATAATATGACCTAAAAAGTATATAATTCGTAATTACTCGTTTAATGTGTCTATACTTTAATTATAATTAGACAAATGGCAACAAAACACAGAAAAGTTGATGCTAAGTGCAAAGGGTTCAATGGCGCCGAGAATATTCAAATGGAATTTTTTGAGACGCAATGCAATGAAGAAATAAATCTATATTCTATTCGAGAGATGTATCACTGTTTGATTTTTATTATGAAAAGTATCATCCGTTCGGTTTTCAACTTTCTAAAAATATGTGCGGCCCGCCAACGACATGCACCTTTAATTTTGGGCCGCGAGCGACAAATGGTTGCCGACCCCTGGTTTAGATGAATCGATTTCTCAAAATAGGTGAATCAAGACGGGATCGAGTCGATAACACGAGTCTCCCCAATACCGTTCAAAGTTGCAAAATGCTGACACTCCGGTACCTATCTGGTACAATTTATTGTATTTTAATTATCACCTCTCGTTTGTACATAAGTTGCGTAAAATCCTCCCTTCCTAACTTCATCGTTTGTCACAAAGTGCATTATAACTCGGTTCGTTTTCGACTTGAATTTGAAACCACCTTTTCTGTATCCAGAATATATTTGGAGCATTTTATCATCCCCTCTACCATCCTGAATCTAAACATATTATGGATTTTATTTCATGATTAGTAAGCAGAGGGAAAAAAAATTGGAGGCGTACATTTGTGGAAGGTTGGCGATATGAAAACAGCGGGTAGTAAAGTTGGGGATAATATGAGTAAGATATGGATGAACAAGGCTAATAGGAAGAGGTGGACATATGAGAGCCCAATCGTCTCGCGAGAATGAGAGAATAAAATAAACCAATAAGAAAAATTATATTTACCCTCAGATAATCAGATTTTGTTCCATTCTCTGGCGATAATTCCAACTCGAAGTAATTAAACTCAAGTTCAATTGAATATCCCATCGGGGCTCTTATAACGTAATCACATGTGAAGCTATTTGGATATTTGAAATTCGGATAGCCTCGACTCTTAATTTCTCCTTTTGGTGAGTACATTCTTCTAGTCGTGCAGCTCTCAGTGGGTTTGCGAACTTAATTAATACGGGGAAAAAATAATTCAAATTATTGTAGAGTAGACTTTTGGTAAGTTCGGTACTTAGCTTTTCATTGATAAGACCTTTTAGTCTGTGGTGTCATTCTGATACTGGGTATAAAATTTTCATGTTTATTTCTT